TTCTCCAGCATCACTTAATCTTTTACATATGGTTTCCAATCTTTCAATTTGGATAGCCATATTTTCTCCTTCAGTCATTTTAAAGGAATAAAATTGTTCCCATGCATTTTGCTTAGCATCTACACTGCTATCGCCATACAAATCTTTCAATTTCGTCCACATTTCATCAGGTTTGGTGCAATTAATTAAATGTGGATGCAATTTCTTTTCTATTGAAGAAATTAAAATCACAGCTGCTTGTGACGATTTCTTCATCCACTTTTTCCAGTCCTCTAAAGCGTTTGCCTTATTTGGTTCATCTTCTGTGCCATTTACAAAACCTGTGAGTTCTTTTGCTTGTAAAAGAAAAGTAACTCCAAACTTCCACATGGAGTAATTCGTCCCATCAAGTTTTGTAAAATCTAAAATTTCCTTATCAGACATGATTTTGAGAAATTTGCTATTCAGACACTTCACCAATTAAACAAAAAAAACACTTCACTTTTAGTACACGCTGATTGTCAAGCTTGAAACACTTTTCACAAATTTATAGTCTGGCGCAGTGGAAGCGTGCTGGGCCCATAACCTGTTGGGTTATATTTTCCACAGAATAAAACACTATAAATTGGTTAAATAAATATGTAAGATTTATTTAAATATAAAAGTATTCGTGACAATTTGTACACAGATTTAAACAAGAAACTTTAGTAACGCAGTTACTCAGCTGAAGGTTTCTTAAAGACTAAATTACAAATCATACCTGGATCTTGAGGGTGGCAAGAGTAATAAAAATACGGTTCCTCAGCTACAACATTGCTAATAGGTAACCAGTGAAAATGAAGGAGAACACAATATTCAAAATACATAGAAATATTATTTTCAACACACTTATTTTGAAATCATAGAAAAAAAAATATGACTTTTTTTCTTTTTCTCTCTCCCCCACCTAAATATTGTGAAAACGCGCTTCTGGCTGTAAAAATGCTTCGCGGCATCTTTTATGCAGCATCGCTTATCTTTTTTGAGAAAAGTCACGTTGACGTTACCCTGGTATATATATAAGTATTATTATATATATATCTTTGAAAATATATTATTTTTCTCTCTTCTTTTTTTTTTATTTCTTTTACGACGATTTAAATTCGCGAGATATTTAAATTTTTCAAAAATCATCCCTGAGATTATAAAATTATTTTAAAAATATTTTTCCTTTTTGTTTTTTGCTTGACACGGGGAAAATTATTTTTCTTCTATTTTCTATAGAAAAAGAGAAAATTGTATTTTATTGTTAAAAAAAATAAATTATACTTTTTTTTGTACAAAATTTATTCTGAATTACAGTTAAAAACTAATTTGAATTAGTGACTGAGTATTTAAAAAAATGAATTTGTAAAATTTAAGTATAATTTAAAAAGAAAAAGTCAGTTACCATTTCAAAAAAGTATTTTTAATTCAGATTAGTGAAAAAATTTCACAGTTTTTGTAGATTTTAATTGTAAACTAGCAAAATTAAACGCGCGCAACCGCGCTAAATTGAGTATTTAATTGTTTGTTAAAAAGAAATTAAATATTAATATTATTAATAATAATTTAATTTATTAGAATATTATTATATATTAAATGATAATAATGAAAATTATATGTTTACAGGCCTCGGATTATACGACTTTTTCGGACTTTTTTTCAAAAATACGACTTTTATCGACTTATTTTAATAAAATGCGACATTTTTTTTTTTTTACATTTGAAAAGAAAATGTAAATAAAATACATTTTTTTAGTATAAAATTTATATCTTCTTCAGATCTTCTTCAATTCAATTATTTAACAAATTTTGAACTAAAATGATTCTTCACTAAATTAATTATTTTTAATAATTTTAATGAAATACAACACAAATTCAATTATATCAAAATTATTTTTCAATTAAAATTTTTATGAAATTTAACAATTGTTTATAATTTAAAAAAAAATATCACAAAAAAATTGAATTATTTTTTAAAAATTTCAATTCAAAATAAACATTATTACCCGAAATTTTAATTCAAAATTAATTAAAAATCCAATAATTATCCAAAATTTTCAATTTAAAATTTAATTATTTCCCAAAATTTTCAATTCGAAATGAATTGAAATTCAATTATTTTCCAAATTTAAAATCAAATAAAATTGAATTATTCTCAAAAATTTGAATTCAAAATTAATTGAATTTTCAATAATTTGAATTTAAAAGCATCTAAAATTTAATTATTTCTAAAATTTTCCATCGAACATTTTTTTTTGAAATTTAATAATTTCAATTACAACTCTAAGGAAATTTAATTATTTTTAACTATTTTAATAATATTCTTTGAAATTTCAACTATCTGAAACCATTTTTCAATTAAAAATGATTTTCAAATTATTGTATTTTATCCGCATTTTCTAATAAATTTTTAGTGAAATGATCTAAAATTTTACTTACAAAACACTTAAAGTTTCAATTAATTTAAAAAATCTCAATTTTAAATCTTTGAAAATTCAATTATTTTCAAAAATTTTAATCCAAAATTAACAAAAATTCAATTATTTTCCAAAATTGAAAAATCAATTATTTTCAAAATTTTCAATTCAAAATAAACTAAAATTCAATTATTTTCAAAATTTTCAATTCAAAGTCAACTAAAATTCAATTATTTTCAAAAATTTCAATTCACAATAACCAACAATTCAATTATTTTTCCAAATTTCACTGAAATTTAATTATTTTCAAAATTTTCAATCCTAAATCAACTAAAATTCAATTGTTTAAAAAATTTTCAATTTCAATTTAATTAGTTTCATAAATTTCAATTCAAAATCAACTAAAATTCAATTGTTTTCCAAGTATTCAATTCAAAATAAACTAAAATTCAATTATTTTCCAAGTATTCAATTCAAAATAAACTAAAATTTAATTATTTTCTTAAAATTGTGGTTTTAAAATCAACTAATATTCAATTATTTTTAAAATTTTAATTAAAATTCAATTATTTCCCAAAAATTTTCAATTTAAAATCAAATAAAATTTCATTATTCTCAAAAATTTGAATTCAAAATTAATTGAATTTTCAATAATTTGAATTTAAAAGTATCTAAAATTTAATTATTTCTTAAATTTTTCCATCGAAAATTTTTTTTTTGAAATTTAATAATTTCAATTATATCTCTAAGGAAATTTAATTATTTTTAACTATTTTAATAATATTCTTTGAAATTTCAACTATCTGAAACCACATTTTTCAATTAAAAATGATTTTCAAATTATTGTATTTTATCCGCATTTTCTAATAAATTTTTAGTGAAATCATCTAAAATTTTAATTACAAAACACTTAAAGTTTCAATTAATTTAAAAAATCTCAATTTTAAATCTTTGAAAATTCAATTAAATTTAAAAAATGTTTTCCAAAAATTGTTTGATAAATTATTTTTAGTTCTGTAAAATTTAATAATTGTTTGAAAATTAACAATATCTTTTGAAATTTAATTATTTCTAAAAATTTCAACTTTAACCCTTCGAAAAGGATTATTATTAAAAAAAATTGTTTATTTAAATATCTATAAAATATTTTTGTTAAAATGAAAAACAAATTCACTTGTTTTGGAATATAAATCGACTGAAACGACTTTTTTGTGTCTTTAAGTTGATTCGAGGCCTGTGTTTTTATAAATAATGTTTAATAGGTATTCGTTGGCCCCTGGTACCTTAACAATTAATTTTTAAAAATTAATTTTTTTCAAATTACTATCTTGTACGAAATTTCCTGGTGCATCTTTTTTCTCATCATAAATTTATTGTATTTGTATAGAATTTTTGAATGAATATACAACTTTAAAAAAAATTTCGTTGGTAAACGTTGTGTACATCAGCTTCGTGAATTGAATTTTCGAATTTGGAATTTTAAAGAAACTTATTCCGAAATTTGGAAACACAATTATACAACTTTGGCAAAAATGAGAAAAAAAATTGTCAAAATTTGACACATCATAAGATTACTATTCAATAAAAAACACGTGAAATCAGAAAAGGCCAACTTCAAGTTAGGACAGAAGGACAGACCAAGCATTTTATTATTATATAATAATTTCTCTATTCGATCGATTTTAATTCGAATTTTTCTAAAAAGAAATTAAATAATAATAAAAAAATACTAAATAAAATTGATCATGAGACGGTAAAATTTTTTTTTGGTAAATCATACATTAATGATTAATCAGAAAATTCTCTTTCGATATATAGAATCGAATTCTGTCGGTTCTTTTTATATTCGAGATGTTTTGTGATCGACGCGTCTATATCGCGGCCATTGATGTAGAGAGCTCCATTCTTAATCTATAAAAGAGGGAGAAATTTCACCCTCTTGTATATTAACCGCGCAAGCGTTCGAGAAAAAAAAGGGCGCAGAAAATATGTCTGTCGAAAGAAATACACACACACACCTTCTTATTTTCTTCATTAAATTTATTTTTTTTTCTCGTATACACAATTATTTAATTAATTTGACGATTTTAGTTTATAGTAAAAGAAAAAAAATTAAATTTTATAATTTTTATATTTACACGGTAAAAATAATTATAATTTTCATAATTATCATTTAACAGAATTTCTTTTCAAATTTTTATTTTTATATATATATTTTTGTTTAAACAAAAGTGCAATTTTTAACTATACCGATTTTTTGTTTTGACAAAATTTTTATTTTATAATCTAATTTAATTTTGAAATAATTTAAATTCGGCGTCTTAAAAATTCAGTGGAATTATAGAATTTTTCTTTCATTTAAAAATTCGATTTTAATATGAGAATTAAAAATTTTTTTTTTTAATAAAAAATTCATGTAAAAATTTTTCAAAATAATAGACCGTAACGAATTTATAGATGAAATTTAATGTATTGAATTATATTTAAAAAATGTATTTATTTTTGCAAAATGTAATTTTTAATTACGTGATTCTTAATTATGTATATTTTTTGTTAATTATGAATTTTTTTGATTTGCAGATTAAGGACAAAATGTTACGATTCACGCAATTTAAAAAAAGGTTGCCTTTGCGTTGAGAGACAAAAGAAAAAAAAAATGTGTGATTTTTGGTCGCGTGATCTTGGAGAGAAAAAGAGAGAGAGAGAGAGAGGAACACCCGTAACCAGGAGAAAGGATCATCACCGCAGGCGACTAAAATCTTCTGCAGGTCGATGGTATCTGCAGCCAACCGACACATATATCGCACCATTATTCAAAGTTGGATTGTATAAACACACATGATGGTGGTGTGATCTGGGCGAGTGCGCGGCCGCCCATCGTGCGTGGGATATACCGTCTAAAAATGAGTTGTGTCAACGTGTGACCGACCCCCCGCGCCGACGTCTCCAGGTGGGCCCCACAGGTAAACCAACGCTTGTTTTTTATAATGCGGGTCTAAAATGGGCAATTCGCTGACTCTCAAAACCACCACATGGTTATTTAATAATAATAACAACAATTATTATAATAATTTAATAATAATAATAATTATTATTATTATCAAAACTTTAACGTTTAATGGGAAATTTTATTTAAATCCATTTGTTCGAATAGTATCGTTTTGTTATTTAATCTATTTTAATAATAATTTCGGGATTCGATTTTTACAAAGTATTTGATAGATTCGAATTTAAAATTCGGTTTTTTGTTTTTTTTTTGTTCTTTAGTTTGGAAGGAATTTTATTAAATTTTCATAAATAGTGAAAATTGCCGCCAAATAGAATTTTTATTTAATCGAATTTATATTGAACAACATTTTTTTAAATAGCAAAAATTTCTATTTTACCAAATTAATCATTTGTTTAAATTTTTATTTAGCCAAATTTTTATTTGATAAATTTCTGAAATCAATGGCTTCTCAATTACCTAATTAATTTGAAAATAAAAATTTAAAATTTAACTTTAGAATTTTATTAGAATAGAAGAAATAGAATTCTAATTTTTTAATTTCGTAAAAATTAAAATCAATGAAATAAAAACATTTTTTTTTTTAAATTCAGCTAAATAGAAATTCAATTAAATAAATGTTTTAATGGCTTAATGATTTAAATTCGTAAATGAAATCTATAAAATTAAATTTATTTTTATTTCCTTATTTTATAGAATTAAATTTTTCCAGATTTAATAATTTTGTTTTTTTTACAAATTTTAATTTTTCAGTTAAAAAAAATTTTATTTTTAAAAGATATTTTTTAAAATGAAATATTTTTTGCGAAAAACTATTTCTTCGATTATCTATTATTTTTATTTAATCGCGATTCAATATTTCCAAGTTTTTGATAGACGAATTTTAAATTCGTTTTTTTTAAAGGAACTAAAATTAAAGGAAGGAATTAAAAGGAAGGAAGGAATTAAAGGAATTAAAATTAATTAAATTAACTGAAATTAAATTTCAAAGTTGCAATCTTTCAATTTTTTTTCCACTTATCCAAATTTTCCATATAAACTTTCAGATTTTAACTTTTTTAAAAAAAAGTGTTACAATTTTTTCTATTTTCAAATTTGATAAAAAAAAAGATCTCATTATTTTTATATAGAAAAATCAATATTCAAAAATGGAGATAAAAATTTTAAATTGAAATTTTCGAATCATTTTCAAAAAATACACAAATAGAAATATAAAAATGATTTTCTGTCTAAATTATGAATAGAGAGACGAATATATAATCAAGTTAATAAATATGATTGGGGGGTTTTTTTTTTTGCCACATCAGAAAATATTTCTGGTGGGATGAAAATTTAAATGTTTCGCGCAAAATTGGCTTTTTTTTTCTTCTTGCGCACGGCATTATTTATCGACGAGGCAAAAAAATCTTTGATATGAAAAGAATAAGATCCAGTCGAAATTTGATACCATAGCTCGCAAACTCGATGCGCGCGTATATATATATATATATATATATATATATATTAAATCTGACTTTGAATTCTTTCAAATATTTAAGAAGGTTGGAAAAAAGTTATATATATATATATATATATATATATATATATATATATAATAACTTTGTCTGACATAGTACCTGCTTTTGTAAATGCTATATAAAAAGAGGAGGAAAAAAACGAGTAAGAATTTGATAACTCTGTGAAAAACACCCACGTACTTTTTTTTTAATATTTTGAAATATCTTCGTCTTTTGAATTTTCATATTATTTACGATATTACCTTCTCTGGCATAGAAAAGTATTTAGTTTCGAGATTTTTTTTAATTTATCCATCGAGATATTTCATTTCTGTAAAAAAAAAATTCTCTTACTAGCAAAATTAAAAGCGCGCCAAATTGAGTATTTAATTGTTTGTTATAAAGAAATTAAAGATTAATATTATCAATAATAATTTAATTTATTAGAATATTATTATATATTAAATGATAATAATGAAAATTATATGTTTACAGGCCTCGGATTATACGACTTTTTCCGATTTTTTTCAAAAATACGGCTTTAATCGACTTATTTTAATAAAATGCGACATTTTTTTTTTTAAATTTGAAAAGAATATGTAAATAAAATACATTTTTTTAGTATAAAATTTATATCTTCTTCAGATCTTCTTCAATTCAATTATTTAACAAATTTTGAACTAAAATGATTCTTCACTAAATTAATTATTTTTAATAATTTTAATGAATTCACAAATTCAATTATATAAAAATTATTTTTTCAATTAAAATTTTTATGAAATTTAACAATTGTTTACAATTTAAAAAAAAAATATCACAATAAAATTGAATTATTTTTTAAAAATTTCAATTCAAAATAAACTAAAATTTAATTATTACCCGAAATTCTAATTCAAAATTAATTAAAAATCCAATAATTATCCAAAATTTTCAATTTAAAATTTAATTATTTCCCAAAATTTTCAATTCAAAATGAATTGAAATTCAATTATTTTCCAAATTTAAAATCAAATAAAATTTAATTTATCTCAAAAATTTGAATTCAAAATTAATTGAATTTTCAATAATTTGAATTTAAAAGTATCTAAAATTTAATTATTTCTTAAATTTTTCCATCGAAAATTTTTTTTTTTAAATTTAATAATTTCAATTACAACTCTAAGGAAATTTAATTATTTTTAACTATTTTAATAATATTCTTTGAAATTTCAACTATCTGAAACCATTTTTCAATTAAAAATGATTTTCAAATTATTGTATTTTATCCGCATTTTCTAATAAATTTTTAGTGAAATCATCTAAAATTTAAATTACAAAACACTTAAATTTTCAATTAATTTAAAAAATCTCAATTTTAAATCTTTGAAAATTCAATTATTTTCAAAAATTTCAACTAAAATTCAATTATTTTCAAAAATTTCAATTTACAATAAACTACAATTCAATTATTTTCAAAAATTTTAATCCAAAATTACCAAAAATTCAATTATTTTCCAAAATGTCAATTGAAAATTCAATTATTTTCAAAATTTTCAATCCTAAATCAACTAAAATTTAATTGTTTTAAAAATTTTCAATTTCAGTTTACATAATTAGTTTCATAAATTTCAAAATCAACTAAAATTCAATTGTTTTCCAAGTATTCAATTCAAAATAAACTAAAATTCAATTATTTTCCATGTATTCAATTCAAAATAAACTAAAATTCAATTATTTTCCAAGTATTCAATTCAAAATAAACTAAAATTCAATTATTTTCTTAAAATTGTGGTTTTAAAATCAACTAATATTCAATTATTTTCAAAATTTTAATTAAAATTCAATTATTTCCCAAAAATTTTCAAATTAAAATCAAATAAAATTTCATTATTCTCAAAAATTTGAATTCAAAATTAATTGAATTTTCAATAATTTGAATTTAAAAGCATCTAAAATTTAATTATTTCTAAAATTTTCCATTGAAAAATTTTTTTTTTGAAATTAAATAATTTCAATTATAACTCTAAAAAAATTCAATTATTTTTAACTATTTTAATAATATTCTTTGAAATTTCAACTATCTGAAACTATTTTTCAATTAAAAATGATTTTCAAATTATTGTATTTTATCCGCATTTTCTAATAAATTTTTAGTGAAATCATCTAAAATTTTAATTCCAAAACACTTAAAGTTTCAATTAATTTAAAAAATCTCAATTTTAAATCTTTGAAAATTCAATTAAATTTAAAAAATGTTTTCCAAAAATTGTTTGATAAATTATTTTTAGTTCTGTAAAATTTAATAATTGTTTGAAAATTAACAATATCTTTTGAAATTTAATTATTTCTCAAAATTTCAACTTTAACCCTTCGAAAAGGATTATTATTAAAAAAAAATTTTTATTTAAATATCTGTAAAATATTTTTGTTAAAATAAAAAACAAATCCACTTTTTTTTGGAATATAAATCGACTAAAACGACTTTTTTGTGTCTTTAAATTGATTCGAGGCCTGTGTTTTTATAATTAATATTTAATAGGTATTCGTTGGCGCCTGGTACCTTAAAAATTAATTTTTAAAAATTTATTTTGTTTCAAATTACTATCTTGTACGAAATTTCCTGGTGCATCTTTTTTCTCATCATAAATTTTTTGTATTTGTATACAATTTTTGAATCAATATACAACTTTAAAAAAATTTTCGTTTGTAAACGTTGTGTACTTCAGCTTCGTGAATTGAATTTTCGAATTTGGAATTTTAAAGAAACTTATTCCGAAATTTGGAAACACAATTATACAACTTTGGCAAAAAGGAGAAAAATAATTGTCAAAATTTGACACCTCATAAGATTATTATTCATAAAAACACGTGAAATCAGAAAAGGCCAACTTCAAGTTAGGACAGAAGGACAGACCAAGCATTTTATTATTATTATATAATTTTTATCAAAAATAATTTTTATAAAAATATTTTTAGGATATTTTTAGGATATTTTTAGAAAAATATTTTTCGAAAAATATTTTTAGAAAAGTATTTTTAGGATATAATTTTAGAAAAATAATTTTATATATTAAAAATTGTAAATAAATAATTTTTCTTCATTTTACGAATGGAATGAAAATCGAAATTTTGTTTTTTTTTCATATATCGGAAGATGGAAATTGCGTCGATTCGAGATGATTAGCGATAATCCAATGGAATGAAGCACGTCTTTGGATGTTTCGTGACTGCCGAGGATGCCATGAATTTTCTCCTATCTTTGTCTTGCATTGGACCATTTGATATACGTGGACTGTGGTGTGTCCCTTTTATATATATATATGGTATCGTATAGAGAGAGAGAAAGAGGAACCTTTCTCCAGTCCGATACGGGCACGATTTCATCTAATTGAAGTAACTACAGGGCGCGCAGAAGATAGTAACATTGAAAAGACACCGACATCGCATATATATACTTCTTCTCATCCATGCGGTAATCCCATCAAATCATCAAATGACTGCCTTCTGTTTCTTCTTTTTCAGCCCCTGCGCATTTCCTTTCGCACGTGCCGCGCTTCGTGTGCGCTTGCAAAAAAAAAAAAAAAAAAAGGGTTTCTTCAACCTTAACTCCTACCTATAAGGAATCATTATATCCAGAATCGATATTTTCAGTTTAATTCCCGAGATTTCCGGCTTTTATGTCTTCTTTTTTTTGCCCTTTTTTTGAGAGAATCCAATTTTTTCTTTTTATGGATCGAAAGTTTTTTTTTTTTTTTTTTTAATTAAGCTGAAAAAATTGCGGTAATTATTTTGAATTTCAATTTAGTTTCTGAATGATGAAAAATACATTTTCCCCCTTTATTTTACAGTATTTTATTAGACACAATTATTTTTTGGACGATTTTTCTTTTTTCGAATCAAAAATTTGATAGAATTTCTTTTTATACGAATTTTTTACGTAACAAAATGTTTTTAGTTATCGAATTTTTGTTTCGCTGAATTTTTCTTTCACGGAATTTTTATTTTACAGTCTTTTTTATTTAAAAGAATTTTAATTTAAGTGAATTTTAATTAAACAAAATTCTCTCATTCAATTGAATTTTACGGTGATTCGAATTTTTAAATGACAGAATTTCCAAATCATCAAATTTCAAATTTTTCCAAATTTTTATTTGTACGAATTTTTAAGACGCCGAATTTTCATTTTACCGAAATTACAAACGTCCAAACAAGTAATCGTGAGAAAAATTTTGACGCAATTTTTCAAAATTGACTAATCACGATAATTGATAATTTCTAATTGGTAAATTTTCAAAAATTGCGTCAAAATTTTGCCTTTCGATTGTTTTGTTCGGCCGTTTTTATAATTTCGGACAAATGAAAATTCAGTGTCGCAAAATTTCCATCAATTTAAATATTCGTACAAATAAAAATTCGGAAAAATTTTAAATTCAGTGAATTCGAATTTCTATGTCGTTTAAAAATTCGAATCAAATAAAATTCGATTGAATGAGAATTTTTGTTAAATTAAAATTCGATTTGATTAAAATTCTTTTAAGTATAGTAAGACATGTAAATTAAATGACTGTAAAATAAAAATTCGATAACTAAAAATATTTGTTATGTAAAAATTTGTATAAAAATAAATTCTGTCAAATTTTAATTCGAAAATTAAAAATTCGTTTAAAACATATAATTATTTCTGATAAAATATTGTATAAAATAAAAATTCTAATTAATGATTTTTTTGGAAATTTGTTTATATTTAATAATAAAATCTAAGTGGATTGTTTGTTTTTGTCAGGAAATTTTTATTGAATTAAATAATATGAAATTTTAAATTTTTATTGGGAGAATTTAAATAATTTAAAAAATAATAAAAAAAAGCGAATAGAAAAACAAGAAGAAAAACTAATTAGATAAAATAGAAAATTAGTCAGGAAAAATGCAGGGAAATATTAGGGAAAATTTTTTATTAGAATACTTTTATTATTTTCAATTATTATTATTTTTTTTTTTTAATCTTTTCGCGTGAAATTGAAACAATTTTCAAAAAATTCGTAAACTCACAAGCGCCACCAGTTGCCTTGAACTTTTACAACAATTCTTCTTTCTCAACTCGTTTTCTTCCTTTTCCCTTCTTCTCAATCGTTGGTAAAGAAGAAAACATTAAATGAATCTTGGAAATATATTTTATTTATTCTTTACAAAAATTAAATACTAAATTTTAATTTAAAAAATTGTTGTACTTAAAAAAATATTACTAATTATTTATTTAGAATTTTACATGAATTATAGGATAAAAATTCTTTTTTTTTTTTGAAGTTGTTTTCTCTTTGTTTTTGAATAATAACCATTCTTTCAAATTGATTTCTAGATTTTATTAATTTTTTCTCAATTTTTAAAAATTAAACTACAAAATTTCAAAAAAAAAAAACAAAAACCTAAAATTGTTTTGATTTTTATTTATCTTGGAAACTTTTCTTCCTTACCAATCGTTAGTGAAATTGAGAACATGAAAATTTAGTTAATCAACAAATGGAACATTTGAACTGTTTTTCAAAAAAATATTTTTTAATATTTTCAAAAGAAATATTTTTAATATTTTCCAAAAGAAATATTTTTAATATTTTCCAAAAAAAATATTTTCATATATTATTTCAAATCGAAATTAAAAAATTTTTCCAGAGAATATTTGAATTATTTTTAAAAATAATTCTAATATTTTTGAAAAGAATATGTAAAAACGTTACGTTGGAATATTTATTCAAGGGAAAAATATATTAAAAATTTGAAATTCATTTTTTATATTATTAATTATTATTTAATTGTATACATTTTTAGTAACAATAATAGAAACATTGGAAAAACTTTACACGTTCGTCATATTACGATATTTTGCAATCAATTCTTTTTTTTTAATTAAATTTTGATGTAATTTCTCCAAATTTTTCAATTGATCATCTTGACTAAATTCAATTCCAGGTATTTTCATTATTTTCTTCCTTGCCGCATTCAATTGTTTTTGTAATTCTGCCAAATGAATGTTAACATTTTGCGTTTGTTTAATTCTTTGATTTTGATCATTTGGTTCCTTTTCTAATGTTCGAAGAATTTTATAAGTGACATCAGTAAAATCAAAATCAGAATCATTTAAAAATGTCGATTCATTTTCTTTTGATTGCTCCTGTGATTGATTATTTAATATTGAATTTTTACTAAATGACATTGTTAATTTCTTTTCCTAAAAAAAAGAAAAAAAAATTATAAATAGTAATTTTTTTCGTTAATTTAAAATTTATTTTTTTTTATTTAATAAATTGCAAACATGTTTTTTTATTTATTTAAAATATTATGAGTAAATCTGTGATTAAAAAAAATAGACTTACTTTAATTTTTCTATATTGAATATTTTGTGAAAAAATTCTGATTTTCTTGGTTAAATTCTCTCTAACTTGTTGTTCACAACAAAACTTCTTAGATACTAAATCCTTCAAAATAACCAAAACTGACCTGAACCTTTTATGATATTTACGGACAAAAGGACACACGATACAAGAATTATGGTGGGAGGAAAATAGTCTGGATTTAAAAATTAAATTTCAATATATTTTTTTTTTTTTTATTTAATTATATTGTGTGCATATAAATTTTACATAATTTTTGTTTACTAATATTGAATTCAAATAAATTGTGTGGGAAAATATTTTCTAATTTAAAAATAATTTTTTAATTAAAAAATTATTTTTTTAATTCAGTTTTTAGTTCTTTTAATTTTTTTCGAAGATAATTTTTTTATTTTGTAAATAATTAAAGCTAAATTTCAAAATTAAATATGAATTAAAGCTTTTTCATTTCCAGATTTTGATTTATGAAGGTGCAACTGTTGTTCGTCGACGTTTCTTTTTCTTTTGCTGTTCTTCCGCTGCACTATCAAAACTTTCAGCAGCTACAAGAAAAAAAAAACACGTTAATGTTTCGATAATTTTAATATATTTTATTATCAAGAAACATTACCCGAATCAAAGTTGCTGATGGCTCCATTGTTTACTGCAAAATCTCCAATTATGTCAACAAGTGATGACTCTGGTAAATATATTTTTTAAAATTATCCCGTGTGGAAAAGTGATGTGGGCCCCCAGCGGGGGCCCTTATGGATCGCCCTCATGCCATGAGGGCCGCATATGGATGATCCATAGGGGCCCCTCATGGAAACGACATGCTCATCGATGAGGGCGCCCGCATGGGCGATCCATGAGGGTGCCCCTACGGGCGCCCTTATGGGCCCTCACGTTTGCCCTCATCTTGCCCTCAAGTTTGCCATAATGTTTTTTAATCAATAATATTAATAATAAAAGTTAATTAATAATAAATAAGCTTAAGTTATTAATAAATAACATATTTATTTAATAATTATTCAATTTTAAATTAAATTCTTACTCAAATTCAATTTATTAATTAACGTTCTAATTAATTAACTGTCGGATATAATTAAAAGTAATAATAAATTAATTAATTAAAAAATTAAAAAATATTTAATTTATGCATACTATTAACGGATATTTTCATTTTTCAATTAATTCATACATAGAATTAATGATTAAACGCAAACCTGAGAAATAAATAAATCTAACGCATGGGGGGAATCGAACCTACGACCTACGGACTATGAGTCTAACGCTTTACCAACTACGCTACGTACGCTACTTCAAAACGAATGCTAACTTCTTGATGCTATTTAAACTTCAAAAATACCTAACAAAGAAAAGTGCTTAACATCATTTAGTTAAAGTTAAGATATTAAATTATATTTTCCAATCAAATGCAATTTATAAAATATAATTAATTATATGCTTTATGATTATTATCATGAATCATCTCAGGCGAATTTTCAAAAAAGTGTAAATATATTTTTATTAAAAACGCGTTTTTCGTTGTTTTAAATCATTGGGAACATTCATTTTTTGTTGATAAAAAAATATTTGATTTTTGGACTTAGAAAATTTTGCTAATCGATCATGAGGGCGATCCATGCGGGCCCCTACGGTGGCCCTCATCTATTTTGCCATAAGTGTGAGTGTTATTTTCAAAAAAGTGTAAATATATTTTTATTAAAAACGCGTTTTTCGTGGTTCTGAATCATTATAAACATTAATTTTTTGGTGATAAAAAAATATTTGATTTTTGGACTTAGAAAATTTTGCTAATCGATCATGAGGGCGATCCATGCGGGGCCCCTACGGTGCCCCTCATGGATTCGCCATATGGATCAGCCCTCATGGGCCCCCGCCGGGGGCCCCGAACTCTTGAGGGCAAGATCGTGGCTTTTTCCACACGGGATATTCTTTATTTTTATATAATATTTTATTTTAAATATTAATCTGTTTAATTAAATATAAATTAAATTATAATTGATTAGTATTTAAATTAATTGAATATTATAAATTAATTAATATATTTTTTTTACCTTTTAGATAGTTCCTGATAATGGCAACATTTCTATCGTTGAAATGATTATTAGGTAAAGGTCCCTATGAAAAAAAGGTATGAAATTTTTATTATTTACATTTTTTGAAAATTGTAAGCATTTAAGGAAATATTTGAGAAAAATTTTTGCGAAAAAAAATTAATAATAATTATAGTAAATAGACTTACTGCCCAAGTCATGGCGATCATTGAAACAATCGCAAGTATCAAAAATAATTTCATTTTTTCGGTTTTTTTATTTCTTTTACTTCACTTTTTGACAGATTTCTACTATTTGATGCATTTACTCCTTTTTTTTTCTTTTTATACTAAAACTTAGTTAAAAAAAATAATTAACTTTTATTATTCACTCAATTGTTAATAATTTGAAAATAACTTTTTTTAATATTCTTTTAAGTGGATTTTAGATAAAAATTTATTTTTCCAAATATTATTAACATTGTTAGTAATTTTTTGAAAATACATTTTTTTAAAAAAACATTTTTTTATATTCTTTTAAGCAGGTTTAAGAGGATATAAGATAAAATCAAATTGATCATTTGACAATTATTTAAAAAAAAAAAAAAAAAACTTTTTCATTGTCATTACAATAGTAAAGTGTCATAAAAAGACGATAAAAAATACAAAATGAATAGTTATTCTTTTGGTTAATATTGCAGAAATTATTTTTTTTTCATTATAAGATATATAAAAACTTGAGATTTAATATTCATAATCGCTTTATTTTTATTTTATTAATATTTATACGCGAATTATAAACAAAAATTAGTTAAACAATTTCGATGTTATTTTTTCTTTGCTGTAATATTTTTTTTAAAAATAGATTTCTAGATTTATTTTATTTTTTATTTTCTAGAATAATTTTTTTCAAATTTTTAAAAATTTGGAAAAATTTTAAAAAACTTAAAATTCTTTTGAATTTTTACATATTTTTGAAACTTTTCTTTACCAATCGCTTTATTTTGGTTTTTTAATATTTTTTTTTTTTTTAGAAATAAATTGAAATTAGAAATAAAATAATTAGAAAAATTTTAAAAGAAACAAATTTAATAAATAAAAAATAAATAAATAATTAGAAGATTTAATAAATAAATAGAAAATAAAATAATCAATGTAAAAAATTTAATGAAATTGACAATAGAAATATTAATAGAATTATCATTGTTTATTTACTATCAATGGGGAAATAATAAAGAGGATACAAAAATTAGAGCACTAAATCAAATCAAAAGAAGATAAACCGTATTTTATTTTCTTTTAAAAAACGAATATCTTTTTGCGAACTTTTGACCTGAATGGTTTCATTTATATAGTGCAGAATTTATTGACAACACAATGTGTCATTTTCCTTTTTGTTTTCCTTTTTTCTCTCTTTCTCTCGCTGTAGTTTTATTCAACAATGAACGTTGATAATCAAAGTTCAAATTAATTTTCTTAATTAAAATTATATATATTCTACATTTACAAAAAAACAAAAAACAGTGAAATGCCTCTTCTTTCATCTTATTTAGATGGAATAATTTTTATTCTACTGACATTAATAGTTGGAGTTTATTTCTATTTGACTCGTAATTTTAATTATTGGAAAAATCGTGGCGTCGTTGAAATTTCGCCGCATGTAATTTTCGGTAATTTTACAAAGTGTTGGACATTAAAATTATCACCTGGTTATTTATTGAAAAAATTTTACGAAGAAAATGAAAATTCACCTTATGTGGGAATTTATATTTTTGATAAACCGTGTTTACTTGTTCGCGATCCGGAAATAATAAAACGAATTCTAATAAAAGATTTTAATATTTTTTCCAATAAATTGATGCGTTCAAGTGAAAATGATAAATTAAGTAATAATTGCATTTTTTTAATTGAAAGTCCAAAGTGGAAATATTTTAAATCAAATTTATCGAATTTATTTACATCGAGGAAATTGAAGAATATATTTGAATATTTACAAGATGTGAGAGAAGATTTGAATTTTTATTTGGATTCACTGAATTTAAGTATATACAGAAAAATTACTTTTTGAGAAAAAAAATTATTTGTTTTCTAAATAAAATTTTTAAATAAAATTTTTGTAAATAAGAAAAATTTATTTTTGTTAAATTAACTTTTTTTTCAGCTTTTGAAAAACGAGTAAACGTGAAGGAACTTTGTGCTAAATTTACAATTGATGTCGTTGGACTCACTGTATTGGGTTTAAAATTAAATTGCCTTCGTAATTCTAATGCGGAATTTCAAAAAATTGTCAAAAGAAAAATGACAGGTGTTTCAAATTTACGACGAGCTATTGAAGTCACATCGATATGTTTAATGCCGGAAATTACAAATTTTTTTGATTTTCGATTTTTTGAAAATGATGGGATTGAATTTTTCAAAAAACCCTTTCAAGAATCGTTGAGTGAACGAAAAAAATTAAAAATTAAACGACATGATTTAATGGATTTATTGATTCAATTGAGAGAGAATAATAAAAATGATTCACTGGAATATGATTTAAGTATGTTTTTATTATTTTTTTTTTAATTGGTTTTATTGATATAAATGTTTTTTTTCAATTTCATTTTTTTGTGATAATTACTAGTTTATTTGAATATTAATTTAGTTTTATTTCTTATAAATTGTGAATTAGTGTATTATTTACAGAATTGGAAGAAAATGATTTATTGTCTCAAGCGATGATATTTTTTCTCGCTGGTTATGATTCTTCTGCGTTAACAATGTCATCGACTTTATACGAATTAGCCCGAAAGCCAGATATTCAAAATAAATTAAGAGGCGAAATTAATGAATCACTTTTGAAAAATAATGGAAAAATTACATACAATATGGTAATTTTAGAAATTTAATTGTATTTAAAATCAAATGACAAATTTAAATTCCATTTATTTAAAGTGATAATATATTTTTTTTTAATTTAATAATTTATTTATTTATAAAAATAATTTATTTATTTTCTTTGTGTTTTTTTTCAGATAACTGATTTACCATATTTGGAGATGGTGATTTTGGAAACTCTAAGAATGTATCCAGTTTTGCCGATAATTGATCGAATCGCTGTAAATGATTATAAAATTGAAGAAACTGGTCTATTAATTGAAAAAGGAACGCCAATATTGATTCCAATGCTTGGTTTACACTATGATAGAAATTATTTTTCAAATCCTAATGAATACGATCCGGAAAATTTTTCCGATTTCAATAAATCATCAAGAAATCCTTACGTCTTTATGCCCTTTGGAATTGGTCCTCGAAGTTGTATAGGTAATAATAATTAAGTTTTTTATACACAAATATTTTTTCTTTCTAAAATTTTTAAATTTCTAAATTTCTAAAATTGAAAAAATAAAAAAAATTGTTTAATTTGTTAAAATTAGCTGTGAAAATTTATTTTCACTTTAGGAATGCGCCAAGGACTTTTACAATCGAAATTGGGCATTGCTCAAATAATTTCAAGATTTGAAGTCTCTCTTGCAAATGATTCCTCAGCGGAAATTGATCCAAAAGGATATTTTACATTATTCAAAGAAGATCTATTCTTGAATATGAGAAAAATTTAAATCTTTTAACTTTACTATATATAAATATATTTTCTTTAGCAACAAAAAATAATTCATAATATTTTTCCTTTTAATAAAAATTAAAATTGTAGAATTTTTTAAATTTAAATAATTTTTAAATTTAATTTTATATAAAATATTTTTAACAATTAGAATTTGAAATATAATGTGTCCACTATAAAGTGACTTTAAATTACAATAATATTAATTTAGAAGAAAGAAAGTAAGTAAAAAAAAATATTTATCGATTTTTAATGACGTTATAATAATTAAATTTTAATTTTGTTTTAGGGATACCTAAAAAAAAAAATTGGAGAATTTTTCGGCAGTTATGGAAAATTCAAATTGGGTGAAATTTAAAGGAGTTTTTATTGTAAGTATTTTAATAGTAAATTTTTTAAAAATAATCTTCATAAAATAATTTTTTATAAAAATATTAATATTTGTTTTCGTTTCTATAAAATAATTGAATTGTATTTATAATTTCTCTATTCGTGTTAGAGAAATATATATTTTATTATGCGCAAAAAAATATTTTATCAAAATTTTCTGAATTTTAAAAATTGATTTGAAATGTAATTTAAATTTTTTACATGTTAACAAGTAGATAAATTAAAATACATTTTACACTATCAGTCAAAAGTTTCATTTTTCGAGTACTTTACAATATTTTATTTTTTTACAAATTCACTAATTAAATTAATAATTTTCTTGATATTCGCAGGTAAAAAAAATCATCATATTTGAAACTATTAAAATTTTATCTAAAATAATTTCTACTAAAGAAAAGAAATCCTGGAAATTTAATTTTTTGTTTTTAAAATTGAAATTTAATTTTTTAATTTTTATTAATCCTTTTTCCCTTAAGTAATTATTTAATTTAATCAATCTTGGTTAAATATTTGTACAATATTTTTTATGATAATTAAAAAATTAAAAATATTTTCTTTTTAAAGAAAAATAGAAAATCATTAAATTTTGCGGCAAATAAATTATTCTTTTAATTATTACATATTTGTAAGAATGAAAATTATTGTAAACTGATGGAAAAATTGAAACTTTTTACCATTAGTGTATTCTGTTACCGTTTAAGTCGAATGATAATAAATTTATCACCTAATTTCAAAGTCAAAAATAATATTAAAATATAACTTATTGTGCAGATAATTTCAGTTCTATCTATTTTAAAGACCACAGTGAATGTTCTTTATATTTTTTTCATTAAAAAAAAAAATACTAAAAATCAAAAAGTTTCAAATTCCCACCACAAAATTAAAAAAAAATGGGATTAATTCTATATGGAATTATTTTAATTCCAACATTAATTATAACAGCTCTTTATTTTTATATGACACGTAATTTTAATTATTGGAAGAAAAAAAATGTTGTTGAAATTCCTCCAGTTCCATTTGTTGGAAATTTGGGAAAATATTTAACATATCAAAAATCCCCGGGAGCATTACTTAAATATTTTTATGATCAAGGAAAAAATGAACCTTATGTGGGAATTTATCTTTTAGATAAACCATGCCTAGTGATACGCGATCCAGAAATATTAAAACGTATTTTAATAAAAGATTTTAATTCATTTTCGGATAAATTAATGCGATCAAGTGAACACGATTTAATAAGTAATAATTCAATTTTTTTCATTGAAAATCCCGATTGGAAATATGTGAGACAAAAATTAACAACATTATTTACAACGGGAAAAATGAAATATATGTTTGATATTGTTCAAGAAGTGGGAAAAGATTTAAATGATTATTTAGATTCCCTGCAATTGGAAGGTAAAATTTGTTTCAAATTATGAATTTGAAAATTAATTTGTGGAAATTAGAATTAATTACACTTGGAAAATTAAAAAATAATTGATTGGAATTAGAAAATAATAATTTATTTTAAATATAAAATAAAATTTGAGAAAATAAATTTCTTTTTTTTTCCAGGACCTGGCAAAGAAGTAAATGTAAAAGATATTGCGGGTAAATTTACAACCGATTTAATTGGACTTGGAACTTTTGGTTTACGTTTAAATAGTTTAAAAAATCCTGAGGCAGAATTTCGAAAATTTGGCGAACAAATATTTCCAACGTTTAATATTAAACGTGCTCTTGAACTTGCGACTATTTGGTTAGCGCCTCATTATTCAACACTATTTGGTTCACGATTTTTTGGCGAAGGAACGTGTAATTTTTTTCGTAAGGCCTTTCAAGAAATTTTTCAAAAACGCATTGAATCAGGAGTAAAACACAATGATTTTGTTGATTTAATGATTCATCTCAAGGAACAGGAAAAAAATAATCCTGATGGTCATGATTATAGTAAGTTACGTTAAATTCTATTTATAAAAAACAAAATGGAAAATTATAAATGAGGAATTTTTAAACTGAAATTTAGTTTTATTTTTCCTATATTAATTTTTTAATTGAATTAAAATTCTAAATTTTGGTTTTTTTTCTATATTTTTGATTGGCAAATTTCAGAATTTGAAGGCGATAATATAATAGGCCAGGCGCTTGCACTTTTTGTTGCTGGTTACGAGACAGCCTCAGTAGTTATGGGATTTTGTTTATTTGAATTAGCGAAACATCCTGAAATGCAATTAAAAATGCGAGATGAAATTAAGAAAACAATGGAAAAAAATAATGGAGAAATAACATACGATATGGTAAGTTTTTTTTATATATATAAATAAATTGGAAAAATCCTATAATTTAAAACAAAAAATTGATTTTGAATTTTTTTCTTTTAATTAATATTTGTAATTTTTACAGATAATTTATTTTTTAAAAAGAATAATTATTTTAATTTTTTTTAAAGTTTAATTAACTTTAGATTCAGTTGAAATTCAAAAATTGTGTTAAAAAAAATTAAATTAAATTAAAAATTTTTTAAAATTTGTTACACAGGTGACTGAAATGCCATATTTGGATATGTTTATTTTTGAAACTTTGCGAATGTATCCAACATTGCCAATGATTGATAGAAGAGCAGTGCGTGATTATAAAATTGAAGAAACTGGATTGTTAATTGAAAAAGGCACACCAATATTAATATCATCGCTTGGTTTTCATTATGATCCAAAATATTATCCAAATCCACATATATTTGATCCAGAAAGATTTTCAAGCGAGAACAAAGCAAAAATGAATCCAAATGTTTTCCTCTCTTTTGGTGTTGGCTCACGAAATTGCATTGGTAAGTAATTTTTTTCAATATATTTTAATAACAAAAAAAAAAATTTAATCATTTTATTCCTTTAATAAATCAATTTATTTACTATTTTCCGCATTATTAATTTTAATTTTCAAAAAAGTTGATTCGATTTATTTTATTTTTCTATAATTAATTTTTTTTTTTGCTTTTTTACTCTTAATTTGTTTTAATTGTTTGTAAAGAAAAGAAAAATTTCTTTTATTTTAAACAGGAACACGACAGGGACTTTTACAAACGAAACTTGGATTAATTTTCATTATTTCGAGATTTGAGGTTTCATTATTAAGAAATACAACAATTGAATTTGAAAAATTATCAATTCTAAGTTCTTCAAAGGGTGGTTTATTTTTAAATATTCGTAAACTCGAGGATGAGTGATAACAAAGAATAATGTGATTTTTTTTTTAATTTTTAACACTTTTTTTCATTGATACTATTTTTTCATTAATCTAAGTTTTAAAAGTAATTATTCTCCCATATGAAGTCATTATTTAAGAAATAAATTCGAAAATAAAGGGTTTTAAATTTATATTAGATTTCTATTATAACTGTAACATTAATTTATCCTTTTTTTTCAAATTATAAAAGAAAAATTATATTAATTTATCAACACAAATTTATCAAGAAATTTTAAATATTAGGACTGAATTTTTCGATTTTAGATTCAAATTCTAATTTGCATGATTTTCTCCATTATTTTTTTTTTTTAAATTATTTCAAATGAAAATTTTATTAAAATTAGAATCTTTCGTTGTTAGCTTATTAATAAATATTAATCATTTATTAATTTTTGCAAAAAATTAAAAAAGAACGCAAAGTTCAAATTGATAATTTTTATCTATTAAAAAATTACCATTTTTTATAAACTATTTTTTGTTTCAACAATGTAGAATAATTACAAACTTTGCATTAAATTAATTTTAATTTTTTTTTCCAACAATTTTCAAAAGAGGAAAATTCAAATGTTTTGATTTTAATTTGAGTTTAATTAGACATATATCTGATTATAATTTCAACATTGTAAGTGTTCATTAAAAAATGATAAGTAGTTTTCTTGCAATATTGTGATATCATCATTTTAATTGTGAATATAAATCTTATAAATTTTAATTAAATAGTTGCCGTTTTGAATTCGTTAAATGAATACATTATATAAAATTGAACACCAAAAATTTTGAATTAGTGAAAAAAAAATTAAAGAAAAATAATAAATAATAATTTCTACGTTCAAATTTTGAAGTTCATTCATTGTATTAGGAAACAAAATAGTAAATACACGTTTTTTTTTAAATTCTTGACAATTAGTGCTTATCCTCATTTTTTTTTTTTTTTTTTCAATACACTTGAAGAAGATTCATTGAAGAAAGGTAAATCTTTTTATTTCTCATTGTTTAATTTTTTTTACTTTTATTAATTTGTCGTCAATAATTTTTTTTTTTTTGAAATTCTAGTCTGAAATTACCTAATTGCGTATAAAACTTAAGTGTTCATTAAAAATGATAAGTAGTTAAATTTTTTTTGTACATCACTGTGACGTATTGATACGATTGTAATAAAAGCTTCATGCAAACTTAATGTGTGACAGTTTGATGTTATAAATTTGTCTCAAAAGATTAAAATTAAAAAAAAGACGAAAATATAAAATTCAATTAAAAAAAAAATGATTATTATTTTTAAATAAGTAATTTTGTAGACATTTTTTTTTTTACAAAGCAACAATGGAATTATCATGGATTTTATACGGAGTGATTATTTTACCAATATTATTTATAACAATTCTCTATTTTTATATGACGAGAAATTTTAAATATTGGAAAAAACGTGACGTTAAAGAAATTACACCAACACCATTTGTTGGGAGTTTTGGAAAATATTTTAAACGTGAAAAATCACCTGGTTCATTGTTTAAATATTTTTATGATCAAAGTGAAGGTCTACCTTATGTGGGAATTTATATTTTGGATAAACCATGTCTATTGATACGTGATCCTGAATTATTGAAATTAATTTTAATAAAAGATTTTAATTATTTTTCGGATAAATTTATGCATTCAAGCAAAAATGATATTGTCAGCAATAATAGTTTATTTTTCATTGAAAATCCCTATTGGAAATATATAAGACAAAAATTTACTGGTCTATTTACAACTGGAAAAATGAAGAGTATGTTTGATAATGTGCGAGAAGTGGGTAATGATCTTGATGATTATTTGGATTCCCTTGAGTTGGAAGGTAATTTCTTATATTTAATTTAATTTTTTAATTTAATTTTAAAACATTTCATTTTAGTATTTACTAAGAGAAATTGCTTTAAATATATTAATTATTTATTATTTTAATTTAAATTTCTTTAATATTTTTATTTTATTTGACAGGTTCTGGAAAACCGATAAACATAAAAGATCTCGCTGGTAAATTTACAACCGATTTAATAGGACAAGCAACGTATGGATTAAAATTAAATAGTTTAAAAGATCCAAATGCAGAATTTCGTAAATTTGGAAAAGCAATGTTTGGCACTTATAATTTTCAAAGAGCCATTGAACTCGCAACTGTTTGGCTTGCGCCGGATTATACAAATTTGTTTGGTTTTCGATTTTTTCTAGAAAGTGCTGCAAATTTTTTTCGAACAGCTTTTCAAGATATTTTAGATGAACGTAAAAAATCGAAATTAAATCGAAACGATTTTATTGATTTGATGATTCAACTACGAGATAATGAGAACAATAATTCAAATTCAAATGGATTTAGTAGGTTTTTTTGATAAAAATTTCATAATCGAAAAAAATAATTGAATTTCATAGAATTTTAATTTACATATTTAGATATTATAAAATAAAAATTAGATTTAGATTAGATTTATTTTTATCATTGTGTAATTTTATAAAGTTTTACAATTTTTCTTTCCCGGAAACTGAAAAAATAAAATAATTGTGAAATAAAAGTGATATAATCAAAGTAGAAAAAAAAAATATATTCAAAATTTATTTTGAATTTAAATTTTTGCCAAATCAAAGTTGCAAAATTAAAAGTATTTTCGTTTCGATCGTCAAAGATTTTCTTCTTTTGATTAAATTTAAAAAAAAATTGTATGAAACTGAATAATAGAATTTAAAAAATTATTATCAAATTCTTAATTATTATTAATTTTTATAACAAATTTTTATTTTAGAATTTGAAGGCGACAATTTATTAGCCCAAGCTCTTACGATATTTGCAGCCGGTTACGATACATCGTCGTCAACAATGAGTTTTGCATTATTTGAATTGGCAAAAAATCGAGAAATGCAATCGAAATTAAGAGAAGAAATAAATGGAGCTATTAAAAAAAATAATGGACAAATAACATATGAAATGGTAAGTTAAATGAATAAAATAATTTAAATAAATTAAAAATTAAATAATAAAATAAATAATAATTAATTATTTTAAATTAATTTAAATTTTTTTAAATAATACATTGGTTAAATAATAAATTGAAGTTAAATAATTGTTTCGATTTTAAAAGTTTGAAAATTTTTTGTTTATCACTTAAAATTGTTTGAAAGAAAAAATTAGTTTTTTTCACTTAATGTTCTCTAAATTCCCTTAATTGAATTTAAAAAGTTTTCTCTTTTCTTTTATAGACAACAGATTTGGAATATCTGGATATGATAGTTTCTGAAACTCTTCGAATGTATCCGACGTTACCATTTATCGATCGTAAAACGACAAAAAATTATAAAATTGAAGAAACTGGACTTATTATTGAAAAAGGAACGCCAATTTTAATTCCAATGCTTGGCTTTCATTATGATGAGAAATATTTTCCCAATCCCTACAATTTTAATCCAGAAAGATTTTCAAGTGATAAAAAATCGTCGATTAATCCCTATGTTTATCTTCCATTTGGAATTGGTGCAAGAAATTGTATTGGTAAAAATTTTGCCATTTACGTTTTTAATAATATTTTATTTTCTATTTCTTTAATTTTTTTTCAATATTGCTTTCTAAAGTTTATTTATTATTTTCTTCTTTTTTATTTACGTACTTTTTTATTTTATTCTAATTTTATTTACGTATTTTTTTGTTTTATTTTTATATTTTATTCGCATATTTTTTTATTTTATTCATTTTATTGTATTTTATTACAGGAATGCGACAAGGTCTCTTACAAACAAAACTTGGGATAATTTTCATTATTTCAAGATTTGAGGTGTCGTTGTTAGAAAATACTTGTATAAAATTTGATAAATTATCAGTGCTCAGTTCATCGAAAGGGGGTTTATTTTTAAATGTCCGAAAACTTGATGTAAAGAACTGAATTTTTTTTTTATAATTTTAAGGAAAAATTATATTTTATGGCTAATAAAAAAAAAAGAATTTAGTTGTGAATAATTAGTTAATTTAACTTGACAAGTAAAGGCAAAAGAAAATATTTTGGTAATTTACCTTATTCCTATTAATAGTATGATAATTTTTATGTCTCTTTATATTTCCTATTTAAAAGTTAAAATTAAAATTGAATCAAAGTTAATTAAAATAATTATAAGAATTAAAAAAATTTATAACTGTTTTATCTGAAAAAAAATATAATTACACATTTCAATTTATGGAATTTTGTGTTTCTTTTTGTTCAAGAAAAAAGTTTAATTTTATTCTAAGAATCACTAATAATTGCTTTTAAAATTCATACAATTTAATAATTAATTTTTCACTTTGTTTAAAAATTCTACAACATTATTTGTAATTATGAATTATAGATTCAGGATAAATATATACATGAAGTGAATTTTATTAAAGAATTTACAGTTTTTACTGAAAGATTTATCGGTAAAATTTTTAATTTCAAAAAATTGACATTCATATTTAATTCTTTTTTAAATAAATATCTTCTTTTAAATGTCAATCACGAAAATGTTTTAAGATTATTTTCTTTTTAAAACAAAGAAAGAAATTATTTGTCGTTTTTTTGAATTTATAATTAATTTCTTATTAATAATACGAACCACCGAAAAAAGACGTGAGCAACAATTTCCATGCTGTTCATTGACTTCAATTGGGTGGTAAATTTTTTTTTTTATTAAAGCTTAATAATAGTTAATTATTTATTTTTGCAATTAATTACAGTATATTTAATTAATTATTTAATTATTTTTGCGATTAATTACAATATATTTAATTAATTAAAATTTAATTATTTTTTCTGTTCAACAGGTTCGTACTGGAAAATTTACGACTGAATTAATTTTGTTTAGAGTAAAATGGACTAGCTGGAAAAAATTTTCCCAAAGTGAAAAAAATTACCAAATTTATTAAATCACTTTTGGATCTAATTTCTTAATTAAAAAAAAAAAACTTTCAAAAAGTTCTGAATAAGAAAATCAAATAAAAAAGACATTCAATTTTGTCTTAATTATTTGGTAAGTAAATAGCAAAATTTTATACTTCTGCAAAAATTTTTTTTTTTAATTATTTCTAACATTCATTTTAGTCAAATTTTCATTTTAATTGTAATATTTTTATTTACTCATTATTTATTTATTTTTTTATCTACCCGTGTGGAAAAAGCCACGATCTTGCCCTCAAGAGTTCGGGGCCCCCGGCGGGGGCCCATGAGGGCTGATCCATATGGCGAATCCATGAGGGGCACCGTAGGGGCCCCGCATGGATCGCCCTCATGATCGATTAGCAAAATTTTCTAAGTCCAAAAATCAAATATTTTTTTATCACCAAAAAATTAATGTTTATAATGATTCAGAACCACGAAAAACGCGTTTTTAATAAAAATATATTTACACTTTTTTGAAAATAACACTCACACTTATGGCAAAATAGATGAGGGCCACCGTAGGGGCCCGCATGGATCGCCCTCATGATCGATTAGCAAAATTTTCTAAGTCCAAAATTCAAATATTTTTTTATCAACAAAAAATGAATGTTTCCAATGATTTAAAACAACGAAAAACGCGTTTTTAATAAAAATATATTTACACTTTTTTGAAAATTCGCCTGAGATGATTCATGATAATAATCATAAAGCATATAATTAATTATATTTTATAAATTGCATTTGATTGGAAAATATAATTTAATATCTTAACTTTAACTAAATGATGTTAAGCACTTTTCTTTGTTAGGTATTTTTGAAGTTTAAATAGCATCAAGAAGTTAGCATTCGTTTTGAAGTAGCGTGCGTAGCGTAGTTGGTAAAGCGTTAGACTCATAGTCCGTAGGTCGTAGGTTCGATTCCCCCCATGCGTTAGATTTATTTATTTCTCAGGTTTGCGTTTAATCATTAATTCTATGTATGAATTAATTGAAAAATGAAAATATCCGTTAATAGTATGCATAAATTATATATTTTTTAATTTTTTAATTAATTAATTTATTATTACTTTTAATTATATCCGACAGTTAATTAATTAGAACGTTAATTAATAAATTCAATTTGAGTAAGAATTTAATTTAAAATTGAATAATTATTAAATAAATATGTTATTTATTCATAACTTAAGCTTATTTATTATTAATTAACTTTTATTATTAATATTATTGATTAAAAAACATTATGGCAAACTTGAGGGCAAGATGAGGGCAAACGTGAGGGCCCATAAGGGCGCCCGTAGGGGCACCCTCATGGATCGCCCATGCGGGCGCCCTCATCGATGAGCATGTCGTTTCCATGAGGGGCCCCTATGGATCATCCATATGCGGCCCTCATGGCATGAGGGCGATCCATAAGGGCCCCCGCTGGGGGCCCACATCACTTTTCCACACGGGTAGTTCGGTAATTTTTAGAATACTTGAAAATTTAGATATCTATAATTTTTAAAATTCTAAAAGAATTTCTATATTTTTTGTCGTGAATAATTTATTATAATTAATATTATCAATTTTAAAAATTCATTTAAAGAACTAATAATTTATTTCTATTTTTGTATTTAAATTTCTTTTTTCTTGCATCAAAAGAAAATAAGGAAACTCAAATGACAAGTTTATAATTTTTATATAATAGTGAAAATCTAACAAGAATAAAAATAACTTTTTTTATCGTGTGAGTGTTAATTAAAAAATTATGAATATAGTAAACATTTTATAAATTCTTGTGACGTCATGATTCGTTGCCTATATAATAACTCTGTGAGCAAAATCGAATGAAAAGAAATAGCTTCTTTTTGAAATAACGGAAAAAGTAATTTTTAAATTTAAAAAATCATTTTTATAATTTTTTTTTATCTAGTTATTTATTTTTTCAAATTGGTATTTTTTCCAAACTATGGAATTATGGACACTATCATGGATTTTATATGGAGTGATTATTTTGATATTTTTCATAATAATTTTTTATTTTTATATGACGAGAAATTTTGGATATTGGAAAAAACGTGGTGTGAGAGAAATTACACCAACACCATTTGTTGGGAATTTTGGAAAATATTTTAAACATGAAAAATCACCTGGTGCATTGTTTAAAAATTTTTATGATCAAAATAAAGATCAACCTTATGTGGGAATTTATATTTTAGATAAACCATGTCTATTGATACGTGATACTGAATTATTGAAATTAATTTTGATAAAAGATTTTAATTATTTTACGGATAAATTTATGCGTTGCAGTAAAAATGATGTTATAAGCAATAATAGTTTATTTTTTATTGAAAATCCCCATTGGAAATTTTTAAGAAAAAAATATAGTATTTTATTTACAACGACAAAAATGAAGACAATGATTGATAATGTAAAAGAAATAGGAAACGATCTCAATGACTATTTAGATTCGCTTCAATTGGAAGGTAATATTTTTTTTTCTTTTTAAATAATTTTTTCATAATTTAAAATTTTTTATTATGTAATTTAATTTTAATTAAATAAATTTTTGATCCTCGTTATAAAAATTGTTAATAAATTTTGAAATTATTTTTTCAATTTATTCGATGGATTTATTAAAAAAAATTTTCAAAATAAAAAAATAATTGTTTTTTCATTCAACAGGTGCTGGAAAATCTGTAAACGTAAAAAAACTCGCCAGTAAATTTACCATTGATTTAATAGGACAAACATCGTTTGGAATAAAATTTAATAGTTTAAAAAATACAGATACTGAATTTCGTAAATTTCATAAAACAATGTTTGGCACTTATAATTTTAAAAGATCTTTAGAACTTGCAACTTTGTGGCTTGCACCGGATTATGCAACTTTATTTGGTTTTCGATTTTTTCTTAAAATTACTACAAATTTTTTTCGTAAATATTTTCAAAATATTTTAGATGAACGTACAAAATCGAAATTAAAACGAAACGATTTTATTGATTGGATAATTCAATTACGAGATAATGAAAACAATAATTCAAATTCAAATGGATTTAGTAGGTTTTTTTGATAAAAATTTCATAATCGAAAAAAATAATTGAATTTCATAGAATTTTAATTTACATATTTAGATATTATAAAATAAAAATTAGATTTAGATTAGATTTATTTTTATCATTGTGTAATTTTATCAAGTTTTACAATTTTTCTTTCCCGGAAACTGAAAAAATAAAATAATTGTGAAATAAAAGTGATATAATCAAAGTAGAAAAAAAAATATATTCAAAATTTATTTTGAATTTAAATTTTTGCCAAATCAAAGTTGCAAAATTAAAAGTATTTTCGTTTCGATCGTCAAAGATTTTCTTCTTTTGATTAAATTTAAAAAAAAATTGTATGAAACTGAATAATAGAATTTAAAAAATTATTATTAAATTCTAAATTATTTATAATTTTTATAAAAATTTTTATTTTAGAATTTGAAGGCGATAATTTATTGTCTCAAGCACTTACGATATTTGTCGCTGGTTATGATACATCGTCAACAATAATGAGTTTTGCATTATTTGAATTGGCAAAAAATCGTGAAATGCAATCGAAATTAAGAGATGAAATAAATGGAGGTATTAAAAAAAATAATGGACAAATAACATATGAAATGGTAAGTTAAATGAATAAAATAATACATTGGTTAAATAATAAATTGAAGTTAAATAATTGTTTCGATTTTAAAAGTTTGAAAATTTTTTGTTTTTAACTTAAAATTGATTAAAAGGAAAAATTAGTTTTTTTTCTTAATGCTCTCAAAATTCCCTTACTTGAATTTAAAAAGTTTTCTCTTTTCTTTTATAGACAACAGATTTGGAATATCTGGATATGATAATTTCAGAAACTCTTCGAATGTATCCGACATTGCCGCTTATCGATCGTAAAACGACAAAAAATTATAAAATTGAAGAAACTGGACTTATTATTGAAAAAGGAACGCCAATTTTAATTCCAATGCTTGGCTTTCATTATGATGAGAAATATTTTCCCAATCCTCACAATTTTAATCCAGAAAGATTTTCAAGTGATGGAAAATCGTCGATTAATCCCTATGTTTATCTTCCATTTGGAATTGGTGCAAGAAATTGTATTGGTAAAAATTTGTCATTTACGTTTTTAATAATCTTTTATTTTCTTTTTTATTTATTCTTTTTCAATATTGCTTTCTAAAGTTTATCTATTATTTTCTTCTTTTTTATTTACGTACTTTTTTATTTTATTCTAATTTTATTTACGTATTTTTTTATTTTATTTTTATATTTTATTCGCATACTTTTTTATTTTATTCATTTTATTGTATTTTATTACAGGAATGCGACAAGGTCTCTTACAAACAAAACTTGGGATAATTTTCATTATTTCAAGATTCGAGGTGTCAATGTTAGAAAATAATTGTATAAATTTTGATAAATTATTAGTGCCAAGTTCTTCGAAAGGGGGTTTATTTTTAAATATCCGAAAAATCAACTTAAAGGAATGAAAATTTGTTAACGAAAGTATTTTTTTTTTTTCTATTTTATTACTCAATTTCATCAAATGAATATATAGTTATTGTAACTTAGCAAAATTTATTAAATAAAAATAAATTATTTTAAACATTGATTAAATAAAAATCATTAGAAGAATTTGGAAACACGAACATTTATTTAGCGATAATCTTATAATTAAAAAATTAGAATTGCAATTTTTTTAAATAATTAAAAATTTAGATAAATATGTTTTGTTGAAATATTAGAAAAGATTTATCGTTTCTTATCAGTTTATTAGTTAATAATAATTCATAATAATGATCAATTTAGAGATTTTTGAACAATAATTTTTAATTTTTATTAAAAGAAAAATTCTTTTTTATTTTTTTTTTTTTCTTACAAACGGCAAAAAATAAAGAAAATCAGAAATGACAAGTTTATAACATGTTTCCAACGTTTTAATCTTATAAGTGTTCATTAAAAATGATAAGTAGTTAACAATTTGTAAAACAATGTGACGCAATCATTTGATAGAAATAAAAACTATATGCGAACTTGATTTGTGCAACAGTCACCGTTATCAATTCACTAAAGAAGAATATAAAATTAAATTTCAGAGAAAGACAAAAGTAATATTATTATCATTATCGTTATTCAAAATAATGAAAATTATTTTTAAAATAATTTTTTGTTTTTTTCCAGATAATTCGCATTTTCTTTTTTCAAAACAACAATGCTATTATGGATTTTATATGGAGTGATTATTTTGATATTTTTTATAACAATTCTCTATTTTTATATGACGAGAAATTTTGGATATTGGAAAAAACGTGGTGTGAAAGAAATTACACCAACGCCATTTATTGGAAATTTTGGAAAATATTTTAAATATGAAAAATCACCTGGTACATTGTTTAAATATTTTTATAATCAAAGTGAAGGTCTACCTTATGTGGGAATTTATATTTTAGATAAACCATGTCTATTGATACGTGATCCTGAATTATTGAAATTAATTTTAATAAAAGATTTTAATTATTTTTCGGATAAATTTATGCGTTCTTGCAAAAATGACAGTGTCAGCAATAATTGTTTACTTATAATTGACAATCCTTATTGGAAATATATTAGACAAAAATTTACTGGTTTATTTACAACTGGAAAAATGAAGAGTATGGTTAATAATGTAAAAGAAGTAGGAGATGATCTTAATGACTATTTGGATTCACTGCATTTGGAAGGTAATATTTTTAATTAGTTACTAATTATTTTTTTTTCATTATCTACTTTTATTATTATTATTTTTTTAATTTATTTTTGTATTTTTTTCTTTTATTCATTTTTATTATTTAATTCTGCAAAATTTATCTCTTTTCTATAAAAATTATAAAAATATCAAATATTTTCCGTATTTTTTATATTATTTATAATATTTTTATTTTTTAAATATTATTCTTTAAATAATTATTAAAAGTTAGATTTATTTTCGCCATTGTGTACTTAATACAAAAGTTTTACATTTTTTTCCGCAAGTTTAAAAAAAAAAAAAAAAAAAACAATAAATAAAAATGATAATATATAAGAAGTGAATTATTAAAAAATTATTTTTATTTTATGTTGAACAGGTTCGGGAAAATCGATAAATATCAAAGACATCGCCGGTAAATTTACAACCGATTTAATAGGACAAGCTGCGTTTGGATTAAAATTGAATAGTTTAAAAAATCCAAATGCAGAATTTCGTCAATTTGGAAAAGCAATGTTTGGCACTTATAATTTTAAAAGAGCCATTGAACTCGCAACTGTTTGGCTTGCGCCGGATTATACAAATTTGTTTGGTTTTCGATTTTTTCTAGAAAGTGCTGCAAATTTTTTGCGTACAGCTTTTCGGGATATTTTAGATGAACGTATAAAATCAAAATTAAAACGAAACGATTTTATTGATTTGATGATTCAACTACGAGATAATGAGAACAATAATCCCGAATCTAATGGATTTAGTATGTATTAATTAAAAGTATTTTAAATTCAATTAATATTTTTATTTAATTATTATTTTAATTTTATTTTTAATAATATATACGAAATTTTTTTTTTTTTTTGAAATTTTCAGAATTTGAAGGCGATAATATATTAGCTCAAGCTCTTATAATTTATACAGCCGGTTACGATACATCGTCGGCAGTTATGAGTTCTTGTTTATTCGAATTGGCAAAGCATTCTGAAATGCAGTCAAAATTGAGAACTGAAATCAATGAAGCTATAAAAAAGAACAATGGAGAAATAACATATGAAATGGTGATTAATTAATTTTCTTTTTTAAAGAAAAATAAAGTTAAATAATTTCTTTATTGATTCAATTGCTTTAATTGCATTTTTTTAATTTTAATATTGGTTTTTTTTTTTTTTTACAGATAACAAATTTGCAATATTTGGATATGATTCTTTCGGAGACACTTCGATTGTATCCAACATTGCCATTTATCGATCGTAAAGCGACAAGAAATTATAAAATTGAAAAAACTGGACTTATTATTGAAAAAGGAACGCCAATTTTAATTCCAATGCTTGGCTTTCATTATGATGAGAAATATTTTCCAAATCCAAGGGAATTTGATCCGGAAAGATTTTCAAGTGACAGAAAATCATCGATTAATCCTTATGTTTATTTGCCTTTTGGAATTGGTGGACGCAATTGTATTGGTAAAAATAATTTTTCGTTTATTTTACCCTTTTTTTTATATTTATTCTTTTTACATTTTATTTATCTTTTTTTATACTGTTTATATTTTATTTATCTATTTTTTGTTTTATTTTTATATTTTATTTACGTACTGTTTTCATTGTATTTATTTTAATTTTAATTTTTCTTCCTTTAGTATTGTTGCAGTTCTGAATTTATTAATTAATAATTTTTTTTAATATAGGAATGCGACAAGGACTTTTACAATCAAAACTTGGTGTGATTCACATTATTTCACGATTCGAAGTGTCATTATTAAAAAATACTTCTATAAAATTTGACAAATTATCAGTATTGGGTTCCTCGAAAGGTGGTTTATTTCTAAATGTCCGAAAAATTGACTAAAATTTCCATTAAAAATTTTTTTATTAATCTACGTATTTTAAATTAAATGGGGATTTAAATTAAAATTTCATTTTATGTATAATTTTTACATTCTTGCTTCTATTGCGTATTGTTTTGTTTCTATATTTCGATCATAGAAAGGTTTTTTTTTTCTTTTTTTTGAAGAAAATTTAAAATTTGTTTAATTTTGCATAGGCCAAGGTTCATTAGACTAAAATCAAAGTTCACTGACCTCAACTCTTATAAATAGAAAATTTGTCAAGTTGTCTTTTAGTAGTTGTTATATCATCGTCACAATGTGTCTATTAACACTCAATTATTTAAAATTTTTTAATAACCTTTTAATATTCTAATCGGTTTAAATAAGTTCATTTTTTTAACGAATTTTATTTTAACAAACCTTTCTTTTTTATTTTTCGTATTTTAATAATTTTCTTTACTTTGAATATTTATTTTGTGTATTTATTTTTTTTTTTTAAATTAAAGTGTTATAACAAAATTACAGCCTGAGATTGTCGAAACCTTGACCGATGAAAGAAATTTGCAAATTTGAAATTTTATTTCAAATCCTTTTAAGGATCGAAAAAAAGTAATAAAGCGAACATATTAGAAAATACTCAATTTATGGAATTTTTATAATTCTAATAATTCGTCATTGAGATTTAATTATAAAATCGTTTCATAAGAAACTTAGAAAAAAAAAAAATTTTTTTTTTTTATAAAAGAAGAAAAAATATGTGCATTTTTGTTTACAGGCAAGAAAAAAATTAATATCACTCTAACAATAAGAATCATTGTTTTTATACTTACTACATACTTTGTAAACATTTTACAAATTTATCTATTTTATTTTTCATTACACACTATAAATACAATTTATTAACAATTTTAGTTTTTAATTCACTAAAGGACATCAATATAAAAGGATGTGTAAAATTTCTGAATATTAGTTTAAAATTATTTTTTCCTAAATAAATTTGAAAACAAAAATGGTTTCTTAATAAAAAAAATAGAATTCAATTGTTTTTTTTTTCTATTACGAAAGTAAAGAATGGAATTATTGTGGATTTTCTACAGTTTACTTGCTATTTTAACGTTAATTATTATAATTGTCTATTTTTATCTAACTCGAAATTTTGGATATTGGAAAAAAAGAGGTGTAAAAGAAATTCCACCAACGCCATTTGTTGGTAATTGTGGAAAATATTTTAAATATGAAAAATCACCTGGTGCATTGTTTAAATGTTTTTATGATGAACATCCAAATTTACCCTATGTGGGAATTTACATGATTGACGAACCATGTCTATTAATACGTGATCCAGAAATTCTTAAAAGAATATTTATAAAAGATTTTAATTTTTTTACTGATAAATTATTGCGTTCGGGCAAAAATGACGTGAGCAATAATTCATTATTTTTCATTGAAAATCCACATTGGAAATATTTGAGGCAGAAATTTACACATTTATTTACGCCAAGTAAAATGAAGAGTAAATTTGATAATATGTTGGAAATTGGAAGAGATCTTGATGATTATTTGGATAAACTTCAATTGGAAGGTAATAAAAAATATTTTTTTTAAAAATTGTAATAAAATATTAAAACTTTTTTATTGAAAATTTATTTTATATTTATTCTTTGGAAAGAAAAATTGCGATTCGGAAAATAAAAAAAAATATAAGAAAAAATTTATAAAAATTAAAGTAAAAAATCAATTTTAGAGGGAATTTCCCTTTATTAGGAATTTTTTTTTATTTTATTTTTGTTTAGGGAGGAAATTTTTATTAATTTTTAATTTATTTTACAGGTTCAGGTAAAGAAATAGATGTGAAAGAAGTTTCTGGTAAATTTATGACCGATGTAATTGGTCTTATTTTATTTGGATTAAAATGTAATAGTCTAAAAGATCCCGAGGCTGAATTGCGAAAATTTGGAAAAGCAATGTTTGGTACATATAGTTTTAAAAGAGCCATTGAAATATCAATTATATTTCTTGCACCTCAATTTGCCGATCTTTTTGGATGTAAATTTATTTTTGAAAATGCCTACAATTTTTTTACAAAAGTCTTTGAAGAAGTTTTGAATGAACGAAAAAATTCGAAAATAAAAGGAAACGATTTTCTCGATGTAATTATACAGCTTCGTGATAATGAAGTTAAAAGTCCACATGGTCTTAGTAAGTAATTCTTTTTTCAAAAATAAGTTCCATTTTTTGAAAAAAAAGGGTAACAAAAATTTTGATTTTAATCCACCGAAAGATTTTTAAAAATTTATTAATAAATCAAAATTTTATTTTTATTTCCTTTATTATAATAAAAGAAAAAAGTTTATTGATTTATGAAACTTAAGTAGACGATATTCGTCTCTTTGAATATTTCATGAATTTATAATTGACTTTTATTTAAATTTTTGGTTATTAGTAAAAAAAAAAAATTTTTCCACTGAATGTTTTTGTGACTTAAGTTATTGAGTAAAATACATTTTTTTTTTATTAATTTTGTTCTGTTTTCAGAATTACAAGGCGATAATTTATCAGCACAAGCAGTATTGCTTTTTGCAGCTGGTTTTGAACCACCATCGGCAGTGATGGCTTTTTGTTTATTTGAATTGGCGAAACATAAGGAAATACAAAATAAATTGAGAAATCAAATTAACGACGGAATTATTAAAAATAATGGAAAAATAACATATGAACTGGTAAATAATAAGCAACTAGTTTTCATTCTTATTTTATATTTTGAAGAAACTATTTTTTTTACTACAAAAAAAAATTTAATTAAAAATTGAACCAAGTCCACTTCTGGGCCGAAAGGCTGAAGCTTAATTAATAAATAAAAATTAAAAATTGAATTAAAAATTTAGTTAAATTTAAAAAATTTGAATTTAAAATTATCAATTAAATTTAAAATTTAATTAAAAATTGAAACAAGAAAATTTTTCGAAAAGTAAAATAATTTTTGTTGGAGTTTGGTTCAAAATTAAGACTAAAAGAAACATGTAATTTTTTTTTAATTACCTGCAAAATTTCTTGAAATTGAAATTAGGAAAAAAATAAAAATGAATGAAATAACTAATTTATGATTAATTTAAAGTAACATAAGATATTTAATTTCAGGTGACAGAATTGCAATATTTGGATATGATTCTTTCGGAAACATTGCGAAAATATCCAACAATGCCAGTTATGGATAGAAAAGCGACAAAAGATTATAAAATTGAAGAAACTGGACTAGTAATAGAAAAAGGAACGGCAATTTTAGTACCATTACTTGGTCTTCATTATGATCCACAATATTTTCCCGATCCAGAAAAATTTGATCCTGAGAGATTTTCAAGTGATAATAAATTAAGAAATCCCTATGTTAATATGCCTTTTGGACTTGGTTCACGTGGCTGCATTGGTAAGTTAATCAAATTTTTCAAAAAATTGGAAAAAAAAATTTAATATTTAGTAGTAAAAATTATTCACTTTTTATTTTTATTATTTATCTTCTTTCTACTTTTTATATTTATGATTTAACAATAAAAAAGGAATTACTAAATTTCAAAATGCCCTTTCGTACTAACAATTTATTATTTGATTTTTATATCATTCTGTTTTTTTAATTTTTTATTCCCTAAAATTGTTTTTTTTTTCACAGCATCGCGCCAAGGTCTTTTGCAAGTTAAACTTGGTTTAATTGTTATTATTTCGAGATTTGAGGTGTCATTATTGAAGAAAACTTCTATTGAATTTGATAAATTATCTGCACTTACTTCTTCCAAAGGCGGATTATTTTTAAATATTCGGAAAATATAATTTTACGAGATTCTATTAATTTATTTTCTTCTTTTGGTAAGTGTTTATTTTTTAAAAATTGAAAATTACAAATTAACATTTTTCTGTTTTATATATATTTTTTAATATTTGTGAGAAATAATAATATTTTTATAATTTCTTTTCTATTTTATTTTTCTATTTTAAAAAGTTTTTCTTTTACATTTTCTTCTTTTAAATTCACAGTTAATTTTATATTTTAGTTTATATTTTACTTTTTGTTTTATTTTTTAGTATATTTTAAATTTTATTTTTCACAATATTGAATAAATAATATTTTTCTTTTCAGATCACTAATTATTATTAAAAAAAGCAAACAAAATTTTTTTTTTTGTCTAATGAAGTTTCTATTGTGGATTTGATAAATAAATTAAAAATTAAAGTATTTAATCTGTATTTATTAAAAATGAAAAAAAATAATTACAAATTCTTCGTACTATTATGTGCCTTTTTCTCTTTCTTTTTATAGAAGAAAAAATTAATATATAAGACGTCTAATTGCTTACAAAAGTCATTACACATAGTAAATAATTTTTCTACTTTATAAATATTCAATATGTGCATTATTATGAGATTAAAATTCAATGTTAGTTATAGAATAAATACATAAAATAAGTTTTATTGAAAATAATTCCAGTTTTCAATTCACTAAAGAACATGAAGACACGAGGATGTATCTGTAAAATTAAAAATTTTCAAAACTAAAGTTATTATTAAATAAAAATTATTCAAATAAATTTTTTTTATATAATTTAAAAATGGTTTCTTAATTCAAAAAAAAAAAAAAAAAAAATTCAAAAGAAACAAAAAATGGAATTATTGTGGATTTTTTACGGTGTAATTGCCCTTTTTACTTTAATTATTATAATCGTTTATTTTTATCTAACTCGAAATTTTGGATATTGGAAAAAAAGAGGTGTAAAAGAAATTTCACCAACACCTTTCGTTGGAAATTGTGGAAAATATTTTAAATTTAAAAAATCACTTGGTGCATTGTTTAAAAATTTTTATGATGAAAATCCAAATTCACCCTATGTGGGAATTTACATAATTGATGAACCTTGTCTATTAATTCGTGATCCAGAACTTATTAAACGAATATTTATTAGAGATTTTAATTTTTTTACTGATAAATTAATGCGATCGTACAAAAATGATATGAGCAATAAATCATTATTTTTCATTGACAATCCACATTGGAAATATTTAAGGCAGAAATTTTCCAATTTATTTACGCCAAGTAAAATGAAGAGTAAATTTGATAGTATGTTGGAAATTGGAAGAGATCTTGATGATTATTTGGATAAACTTCAATTGGAAGGTAATAAAAAATATTTTTTTTAAAAATTGTAATAAAATATTAAAACATTTTTATTGAAAATTTATTTTTATATTTATTTTGTAGAAAGAAAAATTGCGATTCGGAAAATACAAAAAAAAAATATAATAGAAAAAATTTAGTAGAACAAAAATTAAAGTAAAAAATGAATTTTAGAGGGAATTTTCCTTTATTAGGAATTTTTTTTTTATTTATTTTTGTTTAGGGAGGAAATTTTTATTAATTTTTAATTTATTTTACAGGTTCAGGTAAAGAAATAGATGTGAAAGATGTTTCTGGTAAATTTATGACCGATTTAATTGGATTTATTTTATTTGGATTAAAATGTAATAGTCTAAAAGATCCCGAGGCTGAATTGCGAAAATTTGGAAAAGAAATGTTTGGTACTTATAGTTTTAAAAGAGCAATTGAGATATCAATTATATTTCTCGCACCTCAATTTGCCGATCTTTTTAGATGTAAATTTATTTTTGGAAATGCCATTAATTCTTTTAAAAAAATTTTTCAAGAAGTTTTGGATCAACGAAAAAATTTGAAAATAAAAGGAAACGATTTTTTGGATGTGATTATACAACTTCGTGATAATAAAATTAGTCCCAATGGTTTTGGTAAGTACTTTACAAATAATTCCATTTTTTTCATAATAAATCGAAATCTTTTTTTTTATTTATACTAGTGACCTTTTTTTATTATTTAAACATTGTTATTGAAATTTATTTTACTTTTCTTTACTAGACAAATAAGATAAAAATTTATACTAAAAATTATAAATTGAAATTTTCTTAACAAAAACCGAAACGAAATTAACTATTCATATGTTGTTGAGTGATTAAATTTTTCTTTTTTATGTTGTTTTTAATAATTTATTTATTAATTTTTTATTAACTAATTAATTTACTTTTTTTATTTATTTGTTTATAAAATTGACGGAACAATTCAGAATTTTAATTTGTTTTAGAATTGGAAGGTGATAATTTATTATCACAAGCAGTAGTATTTTTTGCAGCTGGTTATGAGCCATCATCGTCAGTTATGGGATTTTGTTTATTTGAATTGGCGAAACATCGGGAAATACAAAACAAATTAAGAAATCAAATCAATAATGCAATTGTGAAAAATAATGGAAAAATAACATATGAAATGGTGAATGAATTAAAATTTTTTATTAAATGGAAAATAATTTAATTAAGAAAATAATTAATTTTTGATTTATAAACATCTTTTTTTTCAGTTAACTGAAATGCAATATTTGGATATGATTCTTTCGGAAACATTGCGAAAATATCCCACAATGCCAATTATAGATCGAAAAGCGACAAGTGATTATAAAATTGAAGAAACTGGACTAGTGATAAAAAAAGGAACGGCAATTTTAGTACCATTACTTGGTCTTCATTATGATCCACAATATTTTCCCGATCCAGAAAAATTTGATCCTGAGAGATTTTCAAGTGATAATAAATTAAGAAATCCTTATGTTAATATGCCTTTTGGACTTGGTTCACGCGGCTGTATTGGTAAGTTAATTAAATTTTTCAAAAAATTGAAAAACAAAATTTAATATTTAGTAGTAAAAATTATTCACTTTTTATTTTTATTATTTATCTTCTTTCTACTTTTTATATTTATTATTTATATTTCCTATAGACCAAAACAATTGTTTTCTTGTTTTTTTTATTTATTTATTTTACATTCTGATTATTTGTTAAAATTTATTAATTATTTTTTTCATAGCATCGCGCCTTGCTCTTTTGCAAGTGAAACTTGGTTTAATTATTATTATCTCGAGATTTGAGATGTCATTATTAAAGAAGACATCTATTGAATTTGATAAATTGTCAGCTCTCAGTTCTTCCAAAGGTGGCTTATTTTTAAATATTCGGAAAATAGAACAAAACAATATTATTAAATTTGAATAATTATACGAAGACATTATTTATTCTACGTTAGTAAGTGTTTATTATTTTAGAAATTAAATTATCAATTTTTTTTTAGTTCTCTATTTTTTTATCAAAAATATTGATGGAAAAATAATAACAGATAATATAAAAATTATAGGTAATTAATATTTTTCTTTTCAGATTCAACAATTATATAAAAATTTATCTTCTTATAAAGAATAATTTCCTTTATAGATTTAATAATTAATTGAAAATTTATTTTGCCAATTTACAACTTTTTAGAAATAATTTTCAAATATTTGAAATTTTTTCAATATAGTGGCAAGTTTTTTTTTTTTTTTTTTTTTTAATATAATTTGCATTTTTCATTTTATAATTCATTGTTAAAGTTATTAAGTACAGCATTGTAATAAATTGCTTTGTTACAAGTATCAATATAAATTGTTGCCTTCAAAATAATGATCATTTTCGAAAATAATATGGAATACTTATTTAATGACATAATTTTCCAAATTAATTAAATCTATACAGATTTATTATAATTTATTATTATATATGCCTAAAATATATTATTTTTTCATCTCGATTAAAAATTTAAAAATTTGTTAAAAAAAAACAGTCAATTCAAAATAGAAAAAAATTGACAGTGTAAAAAATTGACATTCATTAACAAAACTTTCATTATTTTTTTGTCTCTTCAAAATTTTTTCCAAAAATTTAAAAAAAAAACTAAATTTTCAAGTTCCCTTTTTCATATTTGGCAAACAAAATTTAAGAAATATTTCAATTATGAGTGAAACAAAAACTATATGTGATGTAATTTGTAATTTAAAAACTGCTGTCACTGCTTTAGAATGGTTAGTTTTTTTTTTCTTTTCTAATTAATAGTATATTTTTATATTTATTAATAATTGTAATTATTAGTTCGTAATTATTGACATAAAGTAGAAAAATATTTTCTTTTAACATTTTTTTACGTAATAAAATATAATTGACAGTTTACAAAGTTGTCATTTAATTTTTTTTTGCCTTCGGTAAAGTTAATATTTATAATATTTCACAAAAGAATCATTAATAATGTATAATTCCTGTTATTATTTTTAATTACATATGTAATTAGTCAACAGAAGAAGGAAATGCAAAAAAAAGTAATAGCGACAAAAAAAAATGAACAAAAACCACCAACATACTTGTGTATTCCAGTTAAGGAAAAGAAATCAAATGATGATGATAAAAAAAAGCAAATTAAAAAAATTGAAACTAAGGAAAAAGTTAAGAAAAAGAAGAAGAGTAAGAAAAATTTGGACGAAGAAGAGGTATTTTTTTTTTATATTTTAAATTCATCTAATTTAATTTTTTTTGTAATAAGATTATGAAAAATAATTTTTTTTCAGGATTTGTGCATTTTTATAAGTCCAGAAATGCGAGGAGGAGTTTTATATACAAAATGTGATTGTCTTGTTAGAAATGGCCTTCAGGATAATTGTCCTTTAACACTTTGTCAAGGACAACCTGATTGTTTAATTAATCCCTGGCCAGAATGTCCGCCTGGGAAACATTTTCGTCATCGACATCCTGAAATTTATCCTTCTCCAGCGAATTCAAATACTGTCACGACTTGAGTTTTTCTTTCTGGCGACCTTTTTTTTTATCATCCAGGGAATTTGCATTTAAGTATAAATTTCATTTTTTTTACCTCTTTAAATTACAACAATAGTGGAACTAATTAGAGTCGAAATTTTTATTTTATTTAATTTAAAAAACAAAATTCTTTTTAAAAAAAAGGGAAGAAATGCAAAAAATTTTGAAAATTGGAAATTTATATTGTCTTGAAGTTATCGTTTCCTTGGAAACGGTTTGAAACAAAAGATTGAGTTTTTGAACCCAAAAAAAAAATTATCAACTTTTAGAAATAATTCAATTTTAAATTATCAAGTAAAAATTATTTTTTTTAAATTAAATTTAGAAATAAATTACAAATTTACAAATAAATTACGAATTTAAGATAAATAAATTTTTAATTAAAAAATTATGCCTTGCGATGGAAAAAATTCCAATTGTCAAAGAAGACGAGAACTTCTTTCTAAATTAAAATGTCTAATCAGTTCCATGGATAGAAAGTAATATGAAAATTTTTATATTGTACTAATAATATTTTTGAAAATTTCCCTATTTGAATGTGATTAAAATTTGTGTTTTTTTGTTTTTTAAAATTTTACAAAAAAATGATTAAAAATATGTTTTTTTTTTCAAAATTGACATTTCCAGTTGCAATTTACTGATATGTGAATTTTATTTCGCAGAAAACCTTGCGAATGGGATGAACCACCGTGTCCACCTCCAATTTGTTGTCCAGTTCCACCGCAAGAAAATACTCCATCATGTTATGTAAGTAAAATACAAAATAATTGCGCTAAAATAAAATTTGAATTCCTAATTTATTTTTTTTATTTATTATTAATAAAAATACGGCTATTTCTGATAATTCATTGAAAGAAAAATAAATTTAATTATTCAATTTAATCGATTAAATAATCATTCCAATTGAGTATTTATTTGATTTTTTAATTAAATTTATTGTGAATAATTCACTTAATTAAAAAAAAAAGAAAAATACTTGGATGACAGATTAGTGGAAAAAATCAATTTGTAATTATGTTCAAAAAAAAAAAAAATTGAATTACTTCAATGTCATTTTTCTTTATATTTTCTATTTTTAACGTTCTCTAGTTTTTTTTTTTTGCACTAGAAATTTTTAATTGAAAATAAATATTAAAAATAGAATCCAATGAAGCCGTGCAACAGTTGTGAATTGAGAAGCAGTACAATGTGGCGTTGCGATTGCATAAAACGAAATGGCTTACAAGATAGATGTCAATTAATTGATTGTCTAGGAAGACCGGAATGTATGACAAAATTATTTCCAATTTGTGGACCAGGAAAAAAAGCTCTACTACAATTAACCGATCTTGGCGATACGGAAGTGGCTTTAAAAAAATTCTACTCCGCTGATAAAGCAAGAGAAGCGGCTTTAGCTGCTTATTGTCGGCTAAAATGTTCTGGAACTGAAAAATTTTCAACATCCAATTCTCCTTGTCCTTTATTGAATTCTTCATCTCCAAATTGTCCTTTAACGAATTCTTCTCCTCCAAATTGTCCTTTATCAAATTCTTCTTCTCCAAATTGTCCTTTATCTAATTCGCCACCTCCCTATTGTTCTTTATCAAATTCTCCGCCTTCCAATTCTCCATCTTCAAACTATAATTCTTCATCTCGTAATTGTCCTTCTAATTCTCCGTCTCCTAATTGTCCTTCTAATTCTCCATCACCTAATTGTCCTTTTAATTCTCAATCTCGTAATTGTCCTTCTGGTAATTATCCTCCAGATTCTTATCCAACAAATTTTCCTTCAGCTTCCTATACGTCAAATCGTAATAATAATAACAATAATTATTATCCCCCACCTACTTATCAATCGAATATAAATCAATCTTATCCATCGAATTCTAATAATCAAGTTTCTTATTTGCAATCTTTTAATAATTGCCCTCCACCTTATCGTTCATTGTCCCCTAGTTTTAATGTCTCTTCTTCTTCACCAGTTTTTTGTCCAAAACCGCGAATACAATCGTGTCCTCAGCAACAATTTCAAAATCAAAATTTCCTCTCAAATCCTCAATCTTGTGCAACGTGCATTTCTCATTAAAACAATTTTAATCGCTTTTAAAATTTTCTAAGATATAAATTCGGTGCGATAAATTTTTTTTGTCAATTATAAATTAATTTCGGTTGTTAAATTTATTAATCAATAATTTATTCAATATTTAAATATATTAGTTAATTTATTTAATAATTTAAAATTTTTAATTTATTGTTAATTTTTTTTTTAATAATTGCTAAATTATTTCAGTCTATGATGGAAATTTTTTAAATTAAACTTTTATTTATAACCGAATCTTTGACTATTGGAATTTGGTAAAATTAAAAAAAAAAAAAAAACTTCAATACAATTTACTAACACAATAATTGTAAAAAAAAATTGAAATATACTTGTAATTGAAAAAATTGAAACAAACTCTCCTGATGAGAATTATTTAAATTATTGGGTAATAATTATTATTTACTGCAAATATATTTTATTTTATATAATTAATATTAATATTAATATATAATTTTATTATATTTTTTTATATATTATTATATAAATATTTGAATTGATATATAATTAATATAAATATTATAAAAGGTAAATTTTTAAATATTTAAATTGTATGAAAAAAAATTGACGAAAATCATTTTTAAAAATATTTTTTCATTTAGAATTAATAGCTAAAATTTTTATTTTTTTTCTAATTTATGCGTTAATTAATTTTTTTTTCCTCTTTATTTAACGATACAAAAAAGATTGCTTCCTAAATTTTTCTTAATAAATAATCCATTCTATAAAATATATTCCAAAAATTTTCCACACTTTTTGTTAATTATTTTTCTTAATAAATAATTCATCCTATAAAATATATTCCAAAAATTTTCCACACTTTTTGTTAATTATTTTTTTAACTTATTTTTTGTTTAGGTATTAAATCAAATTTTTTTAAAATTTACTTCTAGTTTTCTTTTTAAGAAAAAATTCGAAACAAAACACACTCTGAATTTCAGTTGTTTTTTTTTTTCATTTCGACCTAATTGCAAAATTGTCAAGTGGATATAAAATAAAAAAATAAAAAAAAAATTATAAACAAATAATTAAAACTATTAAATTTTATATTTTCGAATTCAATAAAAATTTCCAATTAAATTGAAGAGAAAAAATTTGAAAATGTCGAATTTTTCAAGAAATGCAACAGCTGGATCCTCAGGATCATTTTGTCAAGTAACAAAACCACCTTGTCCTGTGTGCGTATCATCTCCATCAACTTTTATATCTTCTTGTCAAATTACCATTTGTACTCCTCCAGTGCCGATTGGATCATCTCCTCGATATTTTCCTGTCTCTTCACCTGATAAAATAATAACTATTTGCACTCCTCCATTAGCAATCGGACATTTTCCACCAAAGAATAATTAATTCAATATTTATGAAAAAAATCGTCCATTCGGCACAGGTTGATTTTATTTATTTAAAAAAATCTTTCTAATTATCATTTTTTAATTTTTTTTGTTAGTGGATATAATCTTAATATATTATTATATTTTATAAATATATTATTTATTATTTAATATATTAAATTACCACTTTTTTTCTTAATAACAATTTTTTAAATTGTTTTTTTTTAATTTTTATTTTTTAATTTATAATTTTTATAATTCTAATTCTAAACTAATATATAATTTTTCTTTTTGCAGGTGCATCGTTACCTTGCCGTCGAGAGTGGAAAATTCACGACAAATTCCTGTGAAATCATTTTGCCGCGACAATTGTTGTCATAAGCGAAAACCACCTTTCTGCCGTTATGTTTGCTGGCGTCTACCATGTAAAGCCGATTGTTTTCAAGTTTAGGAAAATTGGATTTATCAACAGAAAACAAGTCAAAAAAAAAAGGTAAAAATCTTTTTATATTAATAGAAAATAGAATTTTCTTTCCTTTTCTTTAATACATTTGTCTATCAAATAAACATTTTTCTTCTTTCTTTCTTTTTTAAATATTTTTAACAATCAACTGATTTAACAATTTAATTAATAAAAAACATTTATAAATATATATCTATTACATAAACTCATTTGAGAAATCGAATAATTTCTATAATTATAAATTAATAATACTTTTAATTTGGCAAAAATTTATATAAATCTGTTCCTTTTTTAATAAGGAATCCTTTTTCATTGAGCTGATCAATAAATTCACGTATATCATCGATTGCAATTCCTCCATTTTCAGCTATTTCATTTAATTCATTCAATGAGAAAAGTTGCTTTTCTGATCGTCTCTCTTGTTTCAATAGATTTATAAACGCCTTGATCTAAATAAAATAAAAATGATTTTTTTCATTTTTGTAAGAAATCATAAAAATTTAAATAATTTTAATTTTTTTTTCTAAATACCTTATTTTTCGTTGGTTTACCACCAGCTGCTGAAAGATTACCACTAAAAAATGGACTCACATCATCTGGTATGTTATTTATTGTTTCATTCATAATTTCAATAACATCCAATGCATCAAACTCAGTTGCATCTTGTCGTAAATCGACTTTTGCTCGAGCCTACGAAAAAAAATTACTCTTTACTAAAAGATAATTATTTAATAATTATTAATTTGTTAACAATAATTAATAATATTAATTATTAATTTAATAATATAATAATTATTTAATTTATTATTATTATTATTTTTGTTATTGTAAGTTCAAAAGCAATTATTAATTTTTTTTATGAACTTCTTTATTAATTCCGTAAATGAATTATTAATTAAAAAAATATAGTAATATTTACCAATGTCAATCTAATTAAAGCTTCAAGTGTTCGAAAGAAAATTGGAATATTACCAATTTTTTCCTTACGTTCTCGTAGTTCTAAATAAAATTTTAATAAAACACTTTGAGCTTCGCTTGTTAATCGTGGCCTCACATATTGTCGAGCGTACGCAATATATTTACGTAAAATTCCTTGTGGTACAAAATTTGAATTATTTTTTATAAAATGCACCAATGATTCTCTAGAAAAAAAAGGCGAATTCAAATCAAAATTATTAATTTAAAAAATAGAATTCTAAATAAATAAATAAAAAATAGAAAATTGCTTTTCAAAAAAAAAAAATCATAATTGCATCAATCAAAATTAAAAAGAATTCAAACCAAAATTAATAATTAAAAAAAATAGAATACTAAATAAATTAATAAAAAATAGAAAATTGCTTACTTAAAAGTATCAAATTTATGCTTTGAACTTGTGGATTGATTCAACATTGTTCTCGATTCATTGACATTTTTTGTTTTTTTATTTTTTGCCAAATGTTGAATAATACGTGCATCGTGATCCTATTTAGAGTGAATTAATAATTTAATTATTTCATTTAAAATTTAAAATATAAATTATTTTTTATTCTTTTACCTTATCAGGATTGTCAAGGAGAAGATAGACAAGATCGAATCTCGACAAAAGCGGTTGACTGAGATTTAAATTCTCTCGAATTGTTTTTGTTTTATTGTAATGTCCGCCAATTGGATTTGCCGCTGCCAAAATTGATGTTCTTGCCGGAAGGGACCAAAGTACACCGGATTTTGCAACACTCACACATTGCTGCTCCATTGCCTCCAATAAGGCCTATTTTTTCAAAGAAAAAGAAAACATTCGCAAAATGAAAAAAACCGTAAGTACAGCAAAATGAAAATTTTAATTTTTAATTTAAAGAAAATAATATTGATATTATTTATATTTTTAATATAAATTACAAATATAAATAAATATAAAGAACTAAATAAATAATATAAAAAAATTGAAATAATTTTTATAAAAGCCCGTCTATTTTGAAAATAAATAAATAAAAATAAATAAAATAAATTTCGAAGTGCAAATTATAATTACATAAATAAATATAAATAACTAAATATTAAATAAAAAATAAAGTAATATAAATTTTGAAGTTAAAATAATAATTCTACAAACAAACCTGATGTTGATTAGTCATTTTATCAAATTCGTCAATAACACAACATCCTCTGTTTGCCAGAACTAAAGCTCCAGGTTCAAGGATATAATCATTTGTTCCCGGTTCCTTTATCAAAGTCACTGTCAAGCCCGATGCTGTGCTTGCATTTCCACAGATATAAACACCTGGAATTTATCAAATAATTGGTGAGTAATTTTCTCTTTTACCAACAAATATTTCAATTTCAAAAATCTATTAACGAAAGTAAAATAATCGGTTAAAAAATGTAGTTAAATATTATTTTTTAAAAAATATTGCAAAAGAAACCTCGTGGTGCAATGCGAGAGCAAGCGATTAACATTTGTGATTTTCCAAGTCCTGGATCGCCAACAAGTAATACATGTATATCCTCACGTACTTCAGAATTTGGTGAACTTCCACCAAATAAACTCAATAATAATCCCGCTTTAACTAATTCATGTCCATAAATACTGGGGCACATTGAATTTATTAAAAGAGCAAAAACATTTTCATGACATTGAATTTCCTGCGAAAAAGAAATAATAGAGTTTCAAGTTAATTTAAATTTTATACTAACTTTTCTAGAAAATAAAAAAAAATGTTTAAACCAGTAAAATTATTAAAAAGACATTATTAAAAAGAAAATAATTTAAAAGGAATGAAAAATTTTAAAAAATATATCCTAAATGTTTAGTAATATTTAAATTTAAAAAAAGGAATTTAAAAATTAGTAACGAAAAAAGGGAAAATTTTTATAGTTACACTAATAGCCGCGTAATCATGATAATTGAGATCGATCATCATCACACCCTTTGTCTTGGAATTTGTCTTATTACTCGTTATTGAAACAGCTTCAATGTGCAATTGAAATTTAGGATCTCCAACTTTTTTCGATTTTGATGATTCATTATCTTGACCCTAAAAAATATTTTTAAAATTTATAAATAATATTAATTTCGATAATTTACAAAGACAATTATAAAGAATTTTACTTTTTTTTTTAATAAAATATATTAATTTTTGAAAAATAGAACAAAATCAAATTTATATAAACGAAATTACATTTATTTTCAATGAAATTAGAATTCATTTTTAATTTTCATTTAAATTAGAATTGCTTTTTAATTTATTTTCAATTCGAATTGAAACTCATTTTTACTTTCGAATTAATTTTCATTTAAATTAGAATTGATTTTTAGTTTTGAATTAATTTTGCATTAAATTAAAACTGATTTTTAATTTTTAAATTATTTTTTGAAATTCTCTTTTAAAATTATGTTTTAAAAAAAATCTTTGTTTTTATTTATACTTTAACAATTCCGGTTACAACAACATCCGCTCCTGGCATACAGGTATCAACTAAATCCTCCACAAGTTCCACGTCAATTACTCGAAGTGTTCCCCGTCTATCGTCCTTAAAAAAATGTTTTCCAAATTTAATTATCGTTTTCTCAAATATTGTAATCAATTTATTTTCTACAAAAATTTTTTTTTAAAAACTCAAATTTTCTTTACCTGATTATCACCTAAATGCTCCTGTAATCTGATTTTTTGAAAAGGAATTGTTTTTGAATAAGGAGAATCGTCTTCGATATCAAATTTCATTGCTCCACAATCACATTTTTTCGGTAATGTCGGAACTCCACCTGGTTGATAAACCACTGTTTTTAAATTACATTTCAAACATTTATAAACATTCCATTGTGCCAATTGTAAAACTTTTCCCACTCGCATCACACAACCTCTAATTGTAATTAATTGACCTATTGAAGAAAAGAAAATAGAAAATTATTAATAATATAAATAATAAATATTAAAAGCAATTTTATAATATTAAAACAATTAAAATAAAATAGACAAATATTTTTAAAAATAAAAGTAATTAAACAAATTAAAATAAAATAAATATTTTTTAATAAAGTAATTATTGATAAAAAATAAATAATAAAATACAATGAAAGTAAATCGAAATTAATTTTAATTTATAATAATCTAGGGAAAATGAATTTTTAAAATAAACGCATACCATAATAATTCACTCGAAGATTTTTCAAGGGTACAACTGGTAAATAATTTAAAACTCTAACTCTAATTAGAGGCACTTCATCAGAACATTCACTGTCATTTACTTTTAACGTATTCTCAATTGTCTATAAAGAAAAAGTAATTTTAAAAACTAAAAATAAATATAAAGAAACAATTGTAACAAAAGAATAAATTATACTTATGTTAAATATAAATTATACCAAAAAAATATAAAATAAATTAAATATGGAAAAAATGAAAAAAATAAAATAACTGAAAATACTAAAAAAAAATAAATTACAGAATTATTATTATTATTATTATTATTATTATTACAATATTTATAATAAAAAGGGGCTATTTTTATTTTTACTAAGGCTTTTTTTTATATATGCATTAAATTAAATTACTAAAAAAAATAAAATCTAAATATTTATTAATTAATTAAAACTATAAATAAAATATTAATCAATTTTAATATTTTTATATTTTTTTACAATTAAAAAAAGGATAAATTAAAAAAAAAATATGTAAAAACGTTTTTTATTATAAAATTAAAATAAAAACCTGATGAACCGCAACACCAATGCAATTAAGTATATGAGATGGATTATTTTTTAAATCCTCTTGAAATTCGGGCCATTTTTCCTTAAAAATTTGACTTTCGTATATTTTATTTACATCCAAATTAAATGGACCACCAACTTCCAAATGGGCTTTTGATATTAATTCTTGATTTTCCGTCAAATAATTTTCCATGACTCTTATTTTCTTAACGGTTTCGGATTTTTTATCATATTCTGTAATTTTTATAAACTTTATTACTTGTATATCATGCAATAATTTTTTTTTTTTATTTTTTTCTGTAAGATAATTTACAATTTTCAAATTTATATATACCTTCATCATGAAAGTAAAGATCCCATCCTGTATAAGGAATATCTTTCTTTCTTTTTTTCTTTGCATGTTGCGGTTCCTGATCATCTGGATTTGATGCCTCGTATCCATCAATTTCACGATTTTCAACATTTTCTTTCAATAAAAAAATTTTTTATTTGAAATATATTTTAATTTATTTTTCAGGCGCGTGATTATCATTGGATAGGTTTTTTTATTTTAAAGAATTTTATTAAATATAATAATTATTTTTTATATGAATTTTTCAGTTTTTGAATTAGCATTTGGTAGAATTTCTTTTTAAACGAATTTTTATTTAACAGAATTTTTATTCGGTAGAGTTCATAAAACGTTAAATTTTAATTTGTTTGAAATTGCAAATGGGCGAACAAAAAATTGTATCTTAATTTGAAAAATGAAAATTGGTATAAAAAATAAATTATATTTAATAAAATTCTTTAAAATGAAAATTTGAATTTATTTTTAATTATGCTCCCCTTTTTTTTATATAGTTTTAAATAAACAATTTTTTGTACTATTGAAATAAATTAAAAATTAAATATATAATATTATAATAAACAAAATAAATAATGAAGGAAATAAATAATAAAATAAATGAACAATATAATAAATAATAAAACAAACAATAAAACAATTATTAATTAATTATTAATAAAATAAATAAATAATAAAACAAATAATTAAAATAAAATGAAAAAGATAAACTAACCTAAAAATACAAAAATAAAATACGTAAATAGAATTTACTTGAAAATTTACCTTCGTCTCGACTTCTTTTTTTATTTTTATTCTTATTTTCCTCATTCTTTTCATTTTCCGAAGCTTTCTTTTTCTTTATATATTTCCATTTATTATTGTTCCGATAGAATGGTATCTTTCCTCCCGAGCTCATTTTAAAATGTTTTCACTCTTTTTTAATTTATAATTAACACTAATTGAACATAATTTTACATAGAAATTTAATGATTTTTGTTTTTTTATTTAGTATGAATTTAAATATTATAGTTTAAAACACGTTTAAAACGTCAAAAACAACGATGTAAACAAAATCATAACCTCACTTTTAATATACAATTTTATCGTCTGCTATATTATTGAGTAACAAGTTCATGGCGTTCTCGACAGAGGGCACCAAACGTTAGTTTCCTAGAATTTGTGAAAAATCTGTTACAATCCCGGTGTTTTATTTGCTAAAGAATTATCTTTATTTGGAAACAATTAAAAAGTGTTTAATAAAAAAATAGTGTTTTACATAAATAAATAGTGAAAACAAAGTTGTTATTATAAGTAAAAAGAAAATTAATGGCACTTTTTGGTTTAGAAAAGAATCGATATAACCACGAGGTTATAATGAACCCTTTTGTCGGTTAATTTTGTATTTTTCTTTTTTTTTTGTTAGTTATTTTTTTTTTTTTTAAGTGAAAGGTGCAAATGAATATGTTCCCACTGTAAATGCATTATTGTTTCCCGATGCCGAGATGGCGAAGCAACTCGTCGAGGACTTATTTCTCATTCTGGAACTTCCGGAAAGGTAAGAGCCGGCTTTTTATTTTCTCATCTGTTGTTTTCTTTTTCTTTATTATATATATAGAGAGAGGAAGGGCACAAGTTGTTCATCAATTCAGATGAATTTTCTTGTCGGCATCGACGCACGTGAGGCACACGTGTATTTTTCTTGTTTGAACACGTGCGTTCATTTAATATTAATATAATATATATAAAAAGCGAATTCTAATTATATTCCCTGCAGGATCATTAAAATATAAAAAGGCGGGTTTCAAAAACAACAATTAAAAAAAAATGTCTTACGATCACTGAGTCGTGTTAATTAAAAATTGAAATTTTGAAAAATTTTCCCGAATTTTGAGGTTAAATTGAAAAAAAAATTGCGATTTTCACAAAATTTTCTTTTATATAAAAAATAGTAATTTGTTTTCATATAAAATACAAGGTAAAAATTCTTTATTAATTAATAATAATAATGTCTTTTTTTCTAATAAATTATTATTTTGTTAATTTTTTACGTAATAAAATATTTTCTTTATTTTCTTTAAATGAAAATTCTATTAAATTAAATTAAAATGAAAATAAAATTTTAATCGACAGATTTGAATTTTTATTATACAAATACGTTTAATTAAAAACGAAAAAAAAAAAGTGAAATAATTATTTAACGTTTAAAATTTACTATTCCACAACGCATGTTGTGTTTTTAATTAAAATTCTCAATTAACGTGAAAATTCTTCTTCTTTTTGATAATTAACTTTTAATGAGAGTTTGGTTCTTGATGAAATGCATTTGATGTTTAATTGTACTATTAGAGGATAATTTTTGCCTTTAATCAAGTATTATATTGTCGTGCGCGGTTGAAACTTTTTTTTTTTTGCAGTTATATAACTTAATTAACTACTTGTCTATATACTAAACAAATTACCATAAGGTTTATAAATTAAATTTTGATGGAATATAATAAGCTTCCTTTTTAAGGTATAGAGAGAAAAAAAAATGAAAGGTGTTATTTTTAATATTTACACGCTATAAAAATAATCGTAAAGAGGGATAATAATTAGTAAAAGATATGCACATGTGTAAATATATCGTTCTCAAAATGACGTCTATGCCTTGGAAATATATTTTTTTTTTCTTTCTTTTCTTTTCATTTTTTTTTTTTTTATTTTCACAATTTTATTTATACTGTTAATAAAAACTTAACGAAGCTCGCGGCACATCAAAGGCAGTGACTCTCAGCTCTTGAAAAAGATAAGTCCGAACAGTTATACATAAAACATAAATCACGATATGACTGGGAATAATTAAAGTAAACTGCATAACCCGAATAAAGTTTTGTGGGATTAATCGATTGAAAGTAGAAGATGGAAGATTCTAATGATTTTTATTTTTTAATGATGAACAAAAAAAATTAAATTAGCAGAGAGTTTTAAAAAATTTAATTGTATAAAATAATATATTTTAGAATTTGTTTGCCATTTTTTTTCTATTTTTAGTAATTGAAAATATTTTTTATAAAGATTTTTTTTTTTTTTTTTTGTAATTTACTCTCGATTAAAGTGAATTAGAAATGAAAAAAGAAATAAAATATTTGTAATTTTATTCGATTTAATTTGCAATATTAACATTGAGTAGAAAAATTTTAATGATAGGCAATTTTTTCTTTTTTGAATTCTAATTTTATTTATTTTCAGAAAATCGGATATCGTTGGCTATAGAATAATATGAAGTTAATCGAAAAATTAATTTTTGGAAATTTGATGGATATATTGAGAATTTTTTTTGTATGAATCCAAGAGGAGGACAATTTTTTATTGGCAATTTTCAAAAATCTTGGTGGAAATTCAGAATTTTTTTTTGTATGGATCAAAAAGGAGGACAATTTTTTATTGGCAATTTTCAAAAATCTTGGAAATTGAGGCGGAAATTTAGAAATTTTTTTTGTATGGATCCAAAAGAAGGACAATTTTTTATTGGCAAATATCGAAAATCTTGGAAATTGAGGCGGAAATTTAGAAAAATTTTTTGTATGGATTCAAAATAAGGACAATTTTTTATTTGTCAATTTTTAAAAATTGTGGTGGAAATTCAGAAAATTTTTTGTATGGATCAAAAAGGAGGACAATTTTTGTATTGGATGATGAAGTTTTTTTGATGGAAATTAAGGTGGAACTGCAGAAAGGTAGATATGGAAAATTTAATAGCATATTTAGAAAAGAAAAAAAAAATAATAATATTGTACCCTTGAATTGTCTCCAAATAAGTTCTTTCATCATGAGAGAAAAAGAGGGTATAAATAACGATCGTAGTACTTCGTCATGTGTCGAAAGAGCACTTTCTCCCTTTGTCATAATCGAGTCGAGGGTGCGGAAGGGTGTAAGTAAATAATAACGATTGAAACCACTTTTATATTCGGCCCAAGAATTCTTCTTAAAAAAAATATACTCTTCTCGTGCATTTCAATTCACTTTTAATTTGACAAGAAAAAAACACCAAAATTTCATTTCTTTATTTTCAATATTTTTTTTTGCTAAAAATATTTCTAGTAAAATATTTCACGCACTAATTTTAATGTAAAATATTTTAATTGTGCTATTTTTTTTATTATTTTATTAAAAATATTTAAAAAAAATACAAAAATAGATTTTTGTAAAAAATGAGAAAAATTGCAAATATTAATTTAAAAAAATTGAAGATAAGGAATTAATCTAGGGGAGGAAATTGAATATAAAATATATTTGCGATGCCCTAACTGTAAATTGAATATATGAGAATGATTGATACAATAATTTAGCCACGTATGGAGCTCAAAATTGCCGGAAGTGACGTTGAGCTTGAAATAAAGCAATATAATAGTATTCGACACCTTACCGCTTGTATAAAGTACTTTAGAGCAATAGAAATGCAATATCAGTCAATTCATATTCGACTCAAGGCGAGGGGCTGATCACTCTCGAGTACTTCACTCGCTTAAAACGAATATTTTTGCAGTTCTGTGATTAAAATGTTAAGTTGTCGATATTTCTCGAGTACAGAGAATAACGAAATTTAAAACGAGTTAACAAAATAACATAAAATAAGGCGGAATAGCGTAGAATAGTGGGGAGTAGTAGTAGAAGCGGTGCGAGATAGACGAATAACGATGAATAACGACGAGTAAAAGCGAGTCTCGGGTGAGTTTTTGGGAGTATTGCTAGTATTTAGGAAAGTTCTCCGTCTCCAGTGGAGCTCAGTTTCGCGCGAGGTAGTATGTATGTGTCAAACGCTTTTCCCTCTTAAGAAGTAGTTGAGAACAGAGTTCATGCTTTCCTTCTCTTTTCCTTACGTACAAGAATATACCTGACTCTCTCAGTTCTCTATGCACAATTGAAAAGCAGATTGAGTTGTTGCAACTCTGACCTGTAATATAATTTTTAATATCTTTACAACGATGCGATACTTAAAATTCTTAACCATTTTTTTTAGTGTTTAAATTGTAAAACCCATCCTTTCGCAAAATGTTTGTACCTTTTACCGAGCATTTTTCACTTCAAAATACTCACTGACAGATCAGTCAGTCCTTGACTGTTCGTCAAGAAAACTTAAAATTTTCAATCTGAATATATAGTTTTTAAGTGAGTTGTGAATTTAACTTTTGAAAAACCATGAGCAGCAAGGAAGTTAATAATACTAGTGTAATGGACAAATTCCGTCAACATTTTTGAGACAAATTATAAAATGAATTAGGCCTTGGCGTTCCACTTCATATAAAAAAATTTTATGGTTCAACAATTTAGACAATATTATATTAATTATGTTAATTATTACTAACTAATAAATTTAATAATAAAATAATCAATTTAAAATATAAATATGATTAGAAAATTAATTACAAATAAATACATATTCTAATAGTTTATAAATATTTTTTAATAATAAGGCCAAAATTCAATCGAGTGGATAGGAATGGCTAAAGTAGAGTCGACTCAGAGTATTTACGCTGCCCTACAACGGAAAAACACACATAAGCCACATTGTCGCTTTGGTCGAGTTCTGTATATAGACACTGGTAAAAAGCGACTGAAGCGACAATGTGGCTTATGGGTTTTCTTTCGTTGTAAGGCAGTACGAATAGCGCGAGTAACTTCGAATAACCCGAGTAACTACGAATAGCCCGAGTAACTACGAATAGTGCGAGTTAGCACGAATTAAGACGAAGTAAAGTCTGTAACGTCGGGTCGACTCGTGAGTGATCAGCCCCTCGACTCAAGGTATGGAAATAAAATGCTTCATTGAATATAGCAGCTGGTCATTAAAAAAAAAAAAAAAAAAAATTATAAATAGCTTTTTTACTTCATTATAATACTAAATATTCATTGCTATAGGCAAGTGTATTTAAATTTTTTTTTTTTTCATTCTATTCAGGTCGATAGGTTTTCCAACTCACAAGACATGCTTTTTCCATTCATGTGTGGGATTTGAGTGTATGATTAATTATAAAATTATATTTCAAAAGAATATAATAAATCTCGGGAGATTTTTATGATTTTTGTTTCTTAGTTGTTGGTGTTATTTTTTTTTATTAATTATTATAGTGATTGTTTCTTCTTTACTATATTCGTAAAATAATCTTCTTTCTGTATTTACAGGGTGTCTACTAGTCCTGGAAATGTCCTGGAATTTTAAAAAGTGTCCTTGAAAGTCCTGGAATTTTAATTTTTGTCCTTGAATTTTTATATTTTGCTTTTAAATTTTCAAAAATTTCTAAAAAAATTCATTAAATAAGTAAAATGAAAATTTACTTAATTAATTAATTTTTTTAATAATTTCTGAAAACAATAGTTAAACTAAAAAAATTTTTTTATTCCTTAAAGTCATCCAATTTAATGTCCTGGAAAAATAAGAAATTTGTCTTGAAAAGTCCTGGTATTTTAATTCAGATTTTTAGTAGACACTCTGATTTAGTTTTTATATTCGTTTTTTTTTTTTCAATTGAATCAAATTTTTTAATAAATGGTTGGTAATAGAGAAACAAAAATTTTTCTTCAGTTTCAAATTTTAGAGAAATGTGAAATTTGAATTTTTTTTTTTTTGTTTCGGCACGTTCCTTGCTTTTCAACCCTTGTTTCATATAAACCCAGCAAGTGTTTCATTATTATGAACTCCCCGCTGTGTGGTGGAGTTTTTGACTTTTATATACAATATATATATATATATATTTAATGTAGAGAGAATGGAAAATATAGAGAGACACAATTCACTTGCCTTTCATCATATAATTTTTTTCTTCTCTTTTTTATTCCCCTCCCCCCTTTTTTAGGGGCCTTAGGCAATGTTTTCGTTACTTTGCCATAGAAGAATTTAAGTATATAAGAATGGATTTAGAGCGGAACCATAAGCTTTAGATGTAATGCGGGGCCGCAATGTTATTTATTAATAGCAAAGTTGGTGGACGCTGGCACGAGGGAGTGGCAACACACACGAACGATCGCATGGACAGAATGTGACGAGTTACTTCATCCTCGTCCCTCGTTTTTTATCTGTGTCCCACTCTCTCTCTATTTTTTTTTTTTTTTTTTTTTTTTTTTTTTTTTTTTTGCCTCTTTCTCACTCTTGCCCACCCACATCAAAAAGCACATTGGGTTGTGAACTGGTGTGAACTCAACACTTGATTCCTCGCCTTTATATATACACCCCCTGGAATCCCTGCATGTCCTCTTCTCTCCCTCTCTATCGCGCTTACTAAATCGATCACTTTAAGCGAGCGACATTTTCGAATTCCGTTATAATATATTTATGGTATGAACGTTCAATTTCCGGAAATTTGGCTCAAACCAAAATTGATTCAGGATGTGGTTTTTCCTTTATATGCAACTGCTAGGGTGGTCCGAAGAAATATATTCTTTTTTTTTTATTAATGCATTTCTAAAGGTGCACACATTGAAGGAGTTTTTTTTTCCCCGAAAAGAAAAGTGGATTTTTATCTCTTGGTTATTTTCGTAATAGGGATTTAAATTTTATTTTTATCTTGTGAATATTTTTTTCCTTTATTTTGGTTTATTAATAGTTTAACTAATTTGTTTTTTTAAATTTTATAATAATTTTTGCTATTTTTCTTTCATTATTATTTTTATTAATATTTTAGTATTATTTATTATAATTATTTACTGTTATTTTATTTATTATTTTTCTATTTGTTTATAATATATCTGTTCGAATTTAATTTCTTCAAAGAATGATTTTAATTAAACTTTGATTCGTAAATTTTGTTGAAAATTTATTTTATAACTGTAAATTCTGTACAGTTTTTTTTTGTGATAAACTAAAGAAATATTTTAATTAAATTTCAATATATTGTTGAATAAATTTTTATTAACATTTTTGTCGTTTAAAAAAAAATTTTCTTTCATAATTCGTAATTTTTATTGAAAGATTATGTTTTAATTGTAAAATTTTGCACAAAATTTTCTGTGATAAATCAAATAATTATTTTATTTAAACTTTAAAAATTTGCTGAACAAATTTTTATTTTGTATATTTTTTTCGTTTAAAAGAAAAAAATTGCAAAGAGAAAATTTTCTTTCGAAATTAATTAATTAAACTTCGATTTAGTTATTTTTTGTTATAAATATTTATTTTATGTAAATTCTGTCCAGTTTTTTAGCATTTTCTAAGAACCGAAGAAAAATTTGTATTTAAACTTTAATAATTGATAGACAAATTTTTATTAACTTTCTTTTTTTTTTTTTTTTAAATTTTTCAAACAGAAAATTCTGTTTCGAATTAATTCGATTCGATTTTCAAACAGAAAATTTCCTACCTAATTCATTAAAATTCGATTCATAATTTTTGTTTTAAATATTTGCAAACAAAATTTTCTTTCCAATTAATAAAACTTTGTTTCTGTAATTTTTGTTACTTTTTTTTATGTAAATTTTCCCAGTTTTGAGATAAAACCAAAAAGAAGGTTAACTTGTAAATCGAGAAATTTTTTTTTTATATAAATAAAAGCATTCACAAGATATGAATATTATTTGTAATCTTAATTTGATATTTTTTTTCTCGAGAGGTACGTTTAATATTTTTTTTTTTTTTCAATCGCAAAGAAACAAATATTAAATTTAATTGTATATAATCCTCAATTATTTTCACTTTATATATACAAAATTCCATTAAAACAATTATTATTTTCAATATTTGCAC